ACCTAGAATTCCAATACTCATTTATTGATAATAAAAAACCTTCAACTGTTTAATCTTTATTAACAATCATTATTTATATGCATCTACGCCAATAACAATTTGTATTTTGTAGGAAACCTCGTTACTGAAATATACTTTTTTCAAGAAGTTATCATCTATCTGTGTCTGGTAGAAGAGAGTGTTTTCCTTGCCAACTTGCCTTTCCCTCTTTCGAGTATTATTCCTTTTGTTCAGCTCACACACTTAGATACATTCAAGGGTGTAATGCAAGGAAAGTTAATTGCGGTCGTGTATACTCTGCGTACATATTGAAACCAGTTCTCTTAGGGCGGAATTTGTAAACAAGAATAGATACATGCATCAGTGTTCGTTTAGTATCCGAGGAGGTTAAAAGCATTAAATTTTGATAATTTTGATAATGCACATAATAGTTTCCTAGATCAGAATATTTCATTGATTTTTTTTATGTGACAGATGAATCCCATGTCAGGCTTTGACATCCGTCTTGTGTTTACATTACTGCCCAGAGATAGTACACTGCAGTACAAAAGATGTGTACACTTCTGAAATAACTTTCTTGCATTACATCCTTGGATAAATTACAGTAGATTGTTTATGCAGACTATAAAGCGGAAATTTGTACAACCCCTTGTACATCATGTACTCGTCATACAAAAAGTTCAATAAATACGTTTTACTACTTGTGTGTATCAGGGAGTAAGGAATATTCCTTACTCCCTGGTGTATATTAAAACAAAACACCCCATACATTTGTACGGGGATAAACAATACTTGCCGCAACTCTTTTTATTCAATGCACTGTATGGACGTAGCTAGTACAGAGCTAAATTCATATTTTCAATTTCAGCTGAAACACTCCGGTATTGAGTCTATTTATCTATATCAAAACATAATTCGATCCAACCTTAACTTTAACTAAAACTTAAATCTTATAGATGACTTTAAAAAAAAACTAAAATCTTATCCCTTAGAAGCAATTTGCAACAAAATTTTGAAATTAAACAACATCCATTTATGCCATTGTAATGGGTATTTTTAAGTGCGAAAAAGCTATTGTTACGTTTGGTGTAAAAATACTTTCATTTTGATCTCAAAAAAACTTGAAAAAAAATCCCAGCAAAAGCATTTTCGCACACATTAACCTGTCACAATAAAAGAAAAATGTTGAGGAAGATGAATGCTAAAAAGAGAAAGAGAACAAAAAATCAAAGCGAGAGCTTANACATCTTATAGAATACCATATATATATCTTATATATTTAATTATATATATATATATATCTGCATATATTATTTGAAAAAGCTGCAGAGTCTGCAAGAAGTAAAAGAAATCTGAAATGAATATTTCAATCTCACAGAAACAAATTTTAAGCTCTAGTTTTAATTTTTATTTAGTATTTGCATGCTGATGACGAATCAATATTATTTTGGTCATTATTCATTTTTACTTATTGGGAAAAAACAAATTTTAAAATAACGATCAAAAGCACAATCGTAGGATAAATAAAAAAAAATTAAAATTTCTAAAGGAATTGAGTCTTTGGAACAAAATCAAATATTTAAACCTCAATATCTTTAGAACTCGATGTTGTAAACCTTAGATATTTCAAACTCAGATTGTTTGATCTAACTGAATACATAGTTTGAAATATCCAAGGTATGCAACATTTGGTTCCAAAGATATAGTGATTAGAAAATCAGAGTTGATTTTTAAATTTTGAATATCTACAAAAACTTACGGTAAAGTCTGGCTTGTGTTTACTCTGAGCTTTTTGGATTGCATTAAATTATTTTAAAGTGAACATTGTCGGCCATTTTCTCACCCTTCGTTGTTTCCTAGAAATGCGCACAATAAAACAAATTAAAAATCGAAAATATCTTCTCCATTGGAATTGTTGATCTGTTTAAACTTTAGATATCATAAAATCAAGTTTGTAATTCTTTTAAGTTCTTTACCAAAACAATCGTAGATTCAGCTTTAAATTCTTCAAGCTTTTTCAGATTTAAAGAAACATTTTAGATGGATTAACTTAATCCGTTGTCCGGAATGACCATTCAAAATATATCCGTCAATTCATTCATCAATTGATTCTCCAAAACATTGATCATTAAATCAATTAATCAATCAATCTAATCTAAACTAAGGCATTTGTTAATCAAATTTTATTAAATAAAAGAATACAATGTTTATTTTACTTTTGTAATAGATTTTCTAAAAAGTGTATTTTTAGAAAACTGGTTAGGATTGAACAAATATTATATCAGTTTATCACACCTCCTAGCCGTCCTATTTTCCCTTCCCCCTCTCTTCTTCCCCTATCACTAATTTTCTTACTCCTAGCTTACCTTCCAACCATTCTCTCCTACCTTCCCTCCCCAAGCTTACCTTCCAACCATTCTCCCCTACCTTCCCTCCCCTAGCTTACCTACCATCTATCCTCTTCCATCTTCCCTCCCCTAGCTTACCTTTCACCCTCCTAGCTTACCTTCCACCCATCCCTCTTGGATACCCCTATCCAAACATAACCTCAACCCCACCTTTCCTCCTGCCCCTCCCTATCACCTTCACCCCCCCCCCTCATACCTAAAATGACAAGTAAAATTTAAGAAAAATATTTTATAATACCCGCCGAATGTTCTCGACTCAAGACTGATTTGTAAATTGTAGAAGGAGAAAAAGATGTCACTGTGCCCTCAAAGTTTGGTTAATACCCCTCCCTCCTTTTTATAACTCCCCCCCCTCCCACCCCCGCCAGTATTTCAACTCAATAATATTTTCTTTACACATTTTCAGCTTTCTATCACTGGCTCATCAAAGTCAATTGTTTTATTGAAAAATTTTATCAATTGAAATAAACCAAAGAGCATAAAAGGAATGATTTAGTTTTACCTGACAAAAACAGTGATAAATCAATTTATGCGTGATTCCGCTGCATTTTTACTGAAAAAATGCACTGAACCAGGATGTAAACAATACCTCAGTAGGATCTAATTAAACCTGGAGAAAGAACTAAAAACATGGTTTCTCTCAGGTTCCCAGACTATACCTGGAGATGCATGACTAGCAGAATACTCTGTGAACCTGGAGTACACTAGACCAAGGGTTTATAAACCCTCTTCATCCTCTCTCCAGTAGCAGTTGCACATCTTCTTCACTTCAGGTATATCCAAGAAAATATTTAAAACTTATTTATCACATGCAAAACCAATAACTTGTTAACTGGGGTTTACTGTGATATGTGTTTCAATGGATTAAAATTTGATGAATGGGTTTTTTGATCTTGAGATAATGCTTGAAAAAAACCACAAGAAAATTTATTCTTACAATATTTTTATTTGTAATTTTCATAAAGATTTTACAATTGTTACTTCTCTGTCTCTGATTAAATTGTATGTTTGGAGCTCATTTCCCGAAAAACAAATGTAAAACCTTTTGATTAAAATGTCCAAACGTTTTGATTAAAGGGATAAATGAACTTAACTTTTATTCCAACTTATTCTGCTTATTACCGCATATATTCAGTATTTCTTAGTAAAATTTAACGAATTAGGCTTATAGGGGGCCCCCTTTCTCGCCCTATTTCCTGTAAATAATTTTAGCTTTTAACTATTGCTCTGAAATTCGGCCATTTTAAATCATTTAAAAATGTTGGCAGATTTTTCTTTTCTAAAAGAATCCAGATATTTTCCAAGATTTTTTTTCAAATTTGATGTTCCACAAACCTTCCCTGAGGTCATTTGAGGTCCCAAAAAAAATTTTGGCCCGATAAGTTCTGGGGTTTTGAGGTTTTTTGGATGCAAATGGACAAACAGACAAATAAGCAAAGTATTTAGATGTTAATGTTTTTATTTTTTTAATCCAACAATTTATAGTTGTATTCCTAAATTCTTTTCCAACTTATTAACCTAACCATATCATCTACAACTTCTGAGTTTTAAATAAAAGTACATTTTTAGGATGTTGAGAATTGCTGTAATCTTGTCCGTCCTTGTAACTCTGGCCCAGGCTGAAGACGGAGTAGGATGGAAAATGATGCAGAAAATCCATAAGTACAACTTGTACTCCAGATGCTGGGGAGATGAACTCATGGCAGGATTTGCTGTCAAAATTCACAAAGCCATGGAATTCTGTGGCGAAGTACAATCCCCAATGTTCGGAGGAATGAAACCCTTCCCTCTCCCTGCTGCCATTGACAGCGCTCAACTTGAAGCTCTCAGAGGTCTTCTCTCCAACCCTGCTCTTGCCACTCTACTCAAAGGAAACCAGGCAAATGCTTGGCAACCATTTGGAAATGGATTTGGACGTAAGAAGAGAGCTCTTCTTGATCCTACTTCTGAGGATGAGGAAGAATTCATGAATGATGTTCTTGACTTTAAGGCTGGTATGGCCACCAAGATGGGAAACATGAGCTGTGTTCTAACCCAGCTTGAGATGCTTGATGCTGCTGGAAACATCAATATGCAATCATACAGCATGGCTTCCCTTTCTCCTTTGCTTAGCAATACCCCCGCTGGTTCTGATCCTGAATTCCTTCAAATGATGGTTGACAGATTCGGAGACTGCTATGAGATCTCAAGAAGCTTTCCCCAGAAAGCCCTGGACAGACATCCCAACCCTATGATTAAGAAATATGGAAGACATCACATTTTCTTCAAGTGCGCCATGAAGGTTGAAGAAAATTGCTGTGTTCACTTCCAGCTGAAGCAATGGGTTGAATTGATGTATGGACCAATCACACAGGAAATGATTCAGAAGTTTGGACTCCCTGAGAACAAGTATGATGCTGCAACCATGGCCATCAAGGTTATGCATGAATCAATGAGTCCTGAGGAGAAGAAGGTTGATGACTTCTTCTGGCAGTTCAGCAAGATGTAAACACATACTCAATGCTATTACCTCAATCAATGCTCAACTTTAATGGCATTTCATTCCTGTATTTGTAAACATGAATGTTAAATAAAACTTTAATCAGTAAATTTTTCATTAGCAGAAGACTCTCAATCCCTTTGCATTTGGATAACGGTTATGATAGTGCAAATAAGTTACTTTTGCAGTTTACCACACTGACAGCATACCAAGACAAGACCTCTAAATCTACAATTTATTTCCTGTATTTTTTAATAGTATTAACAATTTTACAGAAGGTTCTTTTATGAAAGCATATGGTTCTGTATTGTACTTGTGTAACATCTGTAAAAAGTCAGATTCTGTGGCCCTGCACTGCAGTGCTTTTACAGATTCTGATTAAGTGCCGTGTTTGCAACAGATTCTTTCTTGCATGAGAAGCAAGAATTCTCTTTGGGTTGAATCTATTTATTCACCCTGTTTAATTTATTTTAAGATTATATGATTAAAATTTATAGATTCAGTTTTAAGACATGGAATTTGGTTTCAGACCTACATTTTTTCACTTTAAAAATAATTCAGTAATGATCCAGAGTTCTAGGGAGAATAAATACTTATCCTCCCTCTTTACAGGGAGGATAATTACTTATCTGTGATCCATACAGATTTATCAAATAAATAGTTCTCTAATTTTATTTTATATTTATATTCATTGCTCTTTCTATCAATTTTGACTAAAATGGTTGAAACAAGTGAACTATTCCTACTTTAACATTTGATCCAGGAAAGATCAAAACATGTACATACAGCTCTACTGAGCTGTCATCAAATATATTATTTTACATCATTCTTTTTGGGTTTACATAATTACATTGTAAAGTTGTTCCCATGAAAATGTTCAATGATTACTATTTTGTCTGCATTTTGAATCATATAGGGCTTTCTACTCTGAGGAGGTGAAGCTGAGGAACGCTTTTCAATATTCTCTATACTGACTTCGCTAACCTCTGTTTTTTCTACTTGATTAGAAGGTCCTTGAAGTTTATCAGCCATGGATTTTACAGAGCTTTGCTGGATGATACTGCTGCTGTGGCGGTCGAGTGTTGTAGAGAATGAGATACTGAATTATCTAGACCAAGAACTGTTGACATTTCACATGGCACTTTACCTACAAGATTTTCCCCCATAGCCCAGTCAGCATATGCAGCAGGAATACCCTTAAAAAGTACTCGACTCGTGAAACCAAGGCTACTTTAATCACGTTCAGATAATCATCAATAACAGCTGCAAAATTTACTGGCCCATCGTTAGGAACTAGGAACTTAGTTTCCTGCTTGTCTCAGCGCTGTTTCAACCCACACTGTGTTACAAGCATCCCATCATTCTTTTTCACCATCTTCTCAATTTTAAGGTCCATCAACTCAACATGTCGAAGCCCTCTAAAGTATGCTAGAAAGATGATGACCTTAAAAAATATGAATAAATCTTTCATACTCTGTCTTTAAATCCATATTAAGTAAATTCAGGAACAAATATTTGTTTGCAAGAATAAAAATCAACAATTTTTGTAAAAAAAACTTATTTGTCATGTTTGTACTGTGATATGTAATATTCATTTATTGTGCAATGCACAAGGTTACCCATAAAGATTGAGAATGCAAATACATCTTTAAAAAATGTTTTTTTCCTGATTTCCTGAAGCTATAAACATTTTTATCAACTGATATGATATGTAACTTAATCAAAGACTCTTTCCAAGAACCTAATTCAACCTTTTCATTGAATTTAGAGTTTTAGGTCCTAATTAAAGTCTCATCCTTGACCCTGTTAAGTGTTAAACTATTTGATAATACCTTTCTAACTTGCCAATTTGGTGAGTTCCCAGGGCATTCAATGAACTGCTGAATGTCATCAGATTCAAATACAGACACCTTCTGCTTTGCATCAGTGTTGTAGCTCTTTAGCAGGTGTAGTAATACGAGGAGATCCCTGCAACTTCAGAACTACATTTACATGACTACATTGGACCTACATTGAGGAAGAAGCCATTTTTTCTCTCAGTTCGGATAGACTTGAAGTAGTTTATAAGGTCATCAAAGAAAGATCCAGTATATTCTATGAAGTCCATCCAGGTTTTCTGGCACTAAAAGAGATTATTTCTTAATTGTTGACACAAAGAGCTCATCAATTTGATTTATATCAATTTTAAGACAATTTGTTTTCAATTTAGTTCTTACCTTTTTTCTATATGCCGGCTTTAAAGCTCAAGAGCAGATTTGAGATCAATGATGGATGACATGTTAATGGTACAGAATCTCTTTCTTGAATGATAAGTTTTTGAATTTCTATACAACTTTTGCAAAGTTTTCACAAAAATATTGAGAAATTTAGAAACCCAATTACTATTTCTGAAATTATTAAATTTGCTTATTAAATATTTTTCAATATGCATTTGTAAGAAATAAGAGAATTAAAATCATAATTGATAGATTTAATGATTTCATTATTATTTTATCCCCCACAGTTGGTTATTTCGTTGAACAGGAGGTTAAAGGATAAATTACTAATTAACCGGGAGTTTTCATGAGGATGAATAAATTGAGGGGAAAACCACTTAGCCTTGGGCCTCCTCGACCTTTTTGGAGTTGTAAACCTCCCTTGCTACCATAAGGTTTAGAACCCCAAAAAGGTCTTGGAGGCCCTAAGCTAAGTGGTTTTCCCCTAATTTAATTTTTCTCCCTTAATCTGCGGGTTAAATATAACTAATAGTTAAAAAGTCTACAAAGAAAGGGTCTATATAGGATAAAGTTGGAGATGCTAAAGAAAATCTAAAAAACCTATTAAATTCAAATTTCAATCAATATGACTCATACAATAAGTCTAGGGGTTTCAACGCAAGTGGATTTTATTTGCTCGCAATTGGGAGCCTGTAATTGAAAGCTATAGCATGCAATTCTGTCCAACTTTCTTGCATTTGTGTTTCAATTTTTTGATAATATTTAATTTAAACCTTTTGGCACAGAATAAATGTGATTAATTGTCTACGCAATAGAAGATGTAAGAGATATCATGCGAAAGTTTCCTGGGTCGCTAGTCGGTCCTTTCTTGTGTAGTAATTTGACCACGCTGTGTGACTAGGAAGGGGGAGGAGATCCCAGAACATTCACATTATTAAACAGGGTGGCTAATATGTGGTGGAGACACTTGAATTTGAATAATATCTCATACGGGATACCATCAGGACCAGGAGAGGATTTTAAATTTGCACTTTTTAGTATATTTTTTACATCCTTTGGATGTAAGGGCTCACAATTGAATAGGTTCGAAATTTGGAGATTCATGAGTTATTGACAAAAAGTGGAACCAGTTTATATTGTTCAAGTCTATGATACCGGGTGTGCTGTATTTTTCTGAGTAGTAGGTGTTTGCAAATCCTAGGTCAAAGGTTGGTTTCAATTTCTCCTGCAGTAATGATCCCTTGACAGCTTGTTTAGAAAATTCCCAACGGTTTTTGTGAAACATTTTTTCTTGGTGTGTGGTAGTTTTGAGAAGGAGTCTTCTTTTTTCAACTTTTTTAAGCTCACTAACTGCTTTCAGACAGGAATGGAACTTTTTCCTGTCCTCATCAGTGCCGGCTCTGGGAAAGGCTTTCTTTCTCAAAACTTTTTTAAGATATTGAAGTTCTGTGAGGGTCTTATTAGGATGGGAGATAAAACCTTTTGAATGCTGTTTTTTCTCATCAGCAAACAGTTCTTTGTTTTCTTCCAGGAATTCTGTAAGCAGAATGGGAGATATGAATATTAACCTTCTGAAACATACATTGCATAGTGACACAGAGACTTATTTAGATACGCTTCTTGAGAATAGTTTCTTGCCTCTTATAACTCTTCCTACTAGAATAGGTCACAATTCAGCAACCATTTTAGATCATATTTGCACTAACATTGCCGATGATAGTTTTGATTCTGGCATTATTGTTTCAGATATTTCTGATCATTTTCCTGTTTTCTATATTCAAAATTTTAAAGATAAATACATAGAAAAAAAGTCCCAACAGAAAACTCGAAAGTTTGACTCTGAGTCTATTTTTAAATTCAAAAAAATGTTAGAAGATAAAAATTGGGAAAATGTTCTTCTGAATAGAGATCAGGTTAGTGCATTTAATAATTTTTTTGATTCTATTGATAATTGTTTTGAATGTTCATTCCCTGAAAAAAATGTAAATCCTTCCAGAAAAATAGACCTTTTAACCCTTGGATGTCTGAAGCACTGATAATATCAAGAAAACGTAAAGCCAAATTGTTTAATAAAAAGTTGAGGAAACCCTGTCAGGAAACTAAATCTAGATTTAAAGAATATAATGCAGTGTATACTCGCCTTGTGAGGGCAGCACGAAAAAAATACTTTAATGATAAATTTCAAGAATATAGTAAAGATTGTAAACAGACATGGCTGACTATCAATAGTGTACTAGGAAGGGGACGTAAAACAATTAACATTCCCAATGCATTTGTGAGCAATGGAAAAGTTCTCTCAGGGGCCGCAGAAATATCAGAGGGTTTTAACAATTTTTTTGCTAATATAGCTTCTGATCTGGCAAAAACTATTAAGGGCACAAAAAAACAATTTTCTGACTTTTTGTCACAGGGAACAGATTAAAACTTTGTTTTTTTAAATATGACCCCTGATATTATAAATGATGCTCTTAAAAAACTAAAAAGTAAAAACAGTTCTGGACCAGACAAAATTTCAACAAATTTGCTAAAGTCTGTCATACCAATTATCATGGGTCCTATCTGTCATTTATTTGATTTATCTTTCAAAACTGTGTTTATTCCTACCACTCTTAAAACTGCAAAATTGTCCCAATCTTCAAGGCTGGGGAAACGGATAATTTTACAAATTATAGGCCTATAAGTTTGCTTTCTTCGTTTTCTAAACTTCTAGAAGAAGTGGCAGCAAATCAAATTATGAAATATTTGAATAAATTTAAACTACTTTATGAACATCAGTATGGCTTCAGAGCAAAGCACAACACTGCTCAACCCTTAATTCATTTCTTAGATAAAATATACAACGAACTAAATAAACCTGTATCCGAATATACTCCGGGAATTTTTATAGATTTAACTAAAGCTTTTGATACCTCTGATGTTGACATTCTACTGAGCAAGCTTGAACACTATGGATTTCGTGGGACTTCTAACTTATGGTTCACTATCTGTATACAGATACATTTATTTTAGCAATAAACTTTATCTTATCTTATCTTATCATATTATCTTTGGTTTGCAATTCATCTTCATTATAACTGTACAGTTGCAACAGAAGCTTGTTCATGCTAAATTTAAAATTAAAAAAAATAGCATTATATTTCTTTTTGAATTTAATTATTAAACAATCATGGATACCCGCAAGATCTAACCAAATTTTGTTAATGAAGTAACTTTTCAGGGTTTCTAGCGAGAGCAAACTTTTTTGCTCATTTGCTTTCATATTCCGCAAGTTTTTCTGTGAAAATCAGCCTATTTGCGTGAAAATTAATGTAGCTGAAAACAAGTGCAAACACTGAACAATTCTGCACAAAACATGAAACTTGAGTTTCAGTTTTAACAAAATTGCTCAAAAACTTGACTATGTGGAAATTGCTGCTTATATTGTTACCATCCAACATTAGAAGTTTTATTATATCAATAATTTCTTATTGATCCATGCTTAAAGCTAACTTTTCCTGTGTTCAGTTTTTGCTTGGAATTTGCGACAAGTTTTTTCTCCAATTTGAGCCCTTTTTTTTACAAATTTTACCTGTAATGTTTCTGAGGGGGGAGGGGTGATTCGTGCATATTTTTAGTGGAATTTATGCATTTTTTGTAGTGAATTTCATCAAACTCATTCCACAGGAATTCCACATTTTGTGTGAAACAGATAATTGCAGAAATTACAAATGGGCAAAAATGGGTATTTTGTGGCAGAACAAAAAATTTGTTCCTGCAAACTCTTCAAGTGAGCAACAGAAATGTCTTACAGAACCTATCTTGAAGGGTGAAGAATTCAAACTCTAATATGTTCAGAAGTTATTGGGTAATTGTTTTAAACCAAATGATGTCAAAATTTACCCCCAAAGTAGCATAAAACAGGGTATGATCAAATGTGGTTACAGATTTTCATCTAGAGGGACATAAATTGATGACACAAAATTAAAGTTGAACAGAAACTTTTAATTTGCATTAAAAATTTTTAATATAAAATTCAAAAACTCTGTAGAGCCCAAAAATATGAGTGTGTACTGTGTATGTATACTTATATACTACTACGAATGTTTTTCTAGAACCTTAAAGAACAGTACCACGTTTTCTCTATAGCTCTCTGAGATGAATGACTAGCAGAATACTCTGTGAACTTTAGGGGTTTATAAACCCATGTTATCCTCTCTTCGATAACAGTTATACATCATCTGCCAATCAGGTACAACCTAACACAGATGCTTAAACCTAACATTGGTGGAACTTCTAGCAAAGTTTTAAATTTGTTGCTTCATGAAAAATCTAACATGTTTAAAGAATATTTCAAATTAGTCTTAAAAGCTTTAAGTTGGGAACTAGAGTATGAGTACTCAAAGGTACAAAGAGCAAGTGCCCTAGAAAAAGATTCAGACATTTTTTTTATTTAAAAATACAAAAAAAGCTTTTTATGCTCTGTTGATCTTGTAGAATTTACAGAAACAAATGTTGTTTAGGATGTTGAGAATTGCTGTAATCTTGTCTATCCTGGTATCTCTGGCCCAGGCTGAAGACGGAGTTGGATGGAAAATGATGCAGAAAATCCACAAGTACAACTTGTTTTCCAGATGCTGGGGAGATGAATACATGGTTGGATTTGCTGTCAAAATTAAAAAAGCCATGGAATTCTGCGGTGAAGTACAATCTCCCATGTTTGGAGGAATGAAACCCTTCCCTCTCCCTGCTGCCATTGACAACGCTCAACTTGAAGCTCTCAGAGGTCTTCTCTCCAACCCTGCTCTTGCCACTCTTCTCAAAGGAAACCAGGCAAATGCTTGGCAACCATTTGGAAATGGATTTGGACGTAAGAAGAGAGCTCTTCTTGATCCTACTTCTGAGGATGAGGAAGAATTCATGAATGATGTTCTTGACTTTAAGGCTGGTATGGCCACCAAGATGGGAAACATGAGCTGTGTTCTAACCCAGCTTGAGATGCTTGATGCTGATGGCCAAATCAACATGCACACCTTTAGCATGACCCATCTTTCATCTCTCATCAGCAAGACCCCCGCTGGTTCTGATCCTGAATTCCTTCAAATGATGGTTGACAGATTCGGAGACTGTCATGATCTTTCCAGAAGCTTCCCGCAGACAGCCCTGGACAGACATCCTAACCCTATGATGAAGATATACGGAAGACATCACATCTTCTTCAAGTGTGCCATGAAGGTTAAAGAACACTGCTGTGTTCAGTTCCAGCTGAAGCAATGGGTTGAATTGATGTACGGACCAATCACACAGGAGAAGATCCAGAAGCTTGGATTCCCTGAGAACAAGTATGATGCTGCAACCATGGCCATCAAGGTTATGCATGAATCTATGAGCCCTGAGGAGATGAAGGTTGATGACTTCTTCTGGCAGTTCAGCAAGATGTGAATCAATACTCAGTGCAATTACCTCAAGCAATGCTCAACTTTAATGGTTTTTTGTTCCTATAATTTTAATCATGAATATTGAATAAAATTTCAATCCTTATGTCTTATAGATATCCATTTGGAGGCATTAACCCATTAGTGACGAGACAAATAATTCTTTCTGATCTTGCTGAAATTCACAGGGTTAACTCATTATACTGTCCATAGAGTAGATCTAAAGTTTCAATTTTTTTTCAATGAAGGGTTGTGGAGATACAAAACCCGGCACATTTTGTCCGTCTCGGCATTGGTCAAAATTGACCGCCCAGTCAATTTTTCACAATCTGCAGCAGGAAATGGTCAATTTTGTCCGTCTCGACTGGGACAAAATTGACCGGGACTATACAGGAGGGTGTGTGTGTAAATATACTATATTGGGGTAGGGTGTATACTGCACAGTTTGTGCCTAAAAACTGGCATTTCGACCGGGCGGTCAAAATTGACCTGGTCCGAGACGGGCAATTTTGACCGGGCAGAAAAAAGGCTAAAAAGAGCAGTAAACATAAACTTTTTACACTGCACGTAACACTAGCATAGAACTAACATCAAATGCAAACTTTTCATAGAAATAAAAAAATTTCGAAAACAATTTTTCACAGATTTATATCTGTTGGAGATGGAGGTTCCTGAATTTGAATCTCTCCCAATTATTGCTAGCTGCTCTATCACCCTTTAATTGGGATAGCGTTTAGCTGCAGAGTCTTAATTCTGTGTAAACAATGTGTGAACTTTTAAATTGTAGGATTTTAATTTAATATTGGTGATAATCTAGAAATCCAATGAGAGAAAATTAAGTAATGATTGAAAGCATAATAGTCAGCTAAAGTTAAATGGTTGAGGGAAATAGACACAGATTTAATTTTCGCCCTCAAATCTCATTTGAAGGGACGAATTGTAGTGATCTCCCTTTGCCTGTCTGTCTTATTGTTTGTCAGGATGTCTGATTTTAAATTATGAACCTCTATACCGATTTGCCTCAAATTTTGATTGGGGAACTGGTTAAAAATATTAAGTTTAGTACGTTGGTTGACTTTTAATGGTAAAACACCAAGCAGGGTTCCCAAGCTAGTTCATAATATCAACAATAATGTATTCATATTCATATTATTCATACCTAGTAAATTTTGTAACTCATTTTCCCAGAGTACAGAAAGTTTTTTTTTAACATTTTTAAAAACCACATTGGACATCGATTATTTGGAATTTTCCGAGGATAAATGTGAAGTCATTTGAGTTCTCACAGCACACTGCACAGTGTGCACAAATGTACACTCCAATCTCCTGGTATGGATTTTAGTGAGAAAAATACGGATTACTCTGCCTTCAATGAACGAAATAAGATTTAAAGGTTACCGTTGTGAATTGGACTTAATAAATGGAAGGTTACTTAATTCCCCAGTACCAGTAAATATATACGGATGTTCATTGTTTATACTGTAAACCAAGGTTATAATGCAAGGAAAGTTATTTCAGAGGTGTACGCATCTTTTGTACTGCAGTGTATTGTCTCTGGGGGGTAATGTAAACACAAGACGGATGTAACAGCGTGACATGGAATCCATATTTATGTGAATCAAATCAAAATTATCAAAACTAGATGCTTTTATCCTCCTCTGGTGCATCTATCTTGTTTGCAAATTCCGCCCAGAGAGAACTGGTTTCAATATGTACGCAGAGTATACGCAACTGCAATTAACTTTCCTTGCATTATAACCTTGCTGTAAACAGATTGTTCAAAAAATTTATTCAAGTCTTGTTGACTGGAAAAAGTGATGGGAAATAATTCTGTTTTTCATATGACATAAAAATCCCAATTGTGTAGAAAGAAAATGTATGAGTTCAAATCCCATGATTATTTTCCAAATTCAATTTAAAATATATTGGATAGAGATAGATTTATATAAATCTGTAACTGTCGATGCTTCTACCGCAGTTCCAGGCTCTAATATCATTTTATGACAAATTTATTTTAATTCTATGAATTCTAGGATAACAGAATAATGAAACATCTGCATAATTGTGGTAAGAAATGACTGGATTTATACTATAGTACCAGAAGCGTATTTAGAAGAAGGGGGAACCTGTACCTGTACCTGTACCTGTACCTGTACCTGTACCTGTACCTGTACCTGTACCTGTACCTTTACCTGTACCTGTACCTGTACCTGTACCTGTCCCTGTACCTGGACCTTTACCTTTATCTGTACCTGTACCTCTAGCAGCTATTCCTCTATTCATTTACCTGTACCTTTACCTCTACTTCTAGCTATTCCTCTACCTATACCTGAGATTGCAAGTTCTTGGGTTGACTGCCTTCATGGTTTTCGTCTTTCCTCTACTAAAGGTAGTTTCTCTAAAATTTAACATTAGTGTTTAACCACCTCCAACACTACTTTTACATGTTTACAAAGATCCTGTATACTGTACCTATAATGCATGATACTCTCACAGTCGTAATCTACACCTAGAGGAATCTGAAGAGGATTCTTGGTAAACTGAACCCATCTATCCACTGAACCCACAGGATTTCCAACATTGTATTATGAACTGGCTTGAGAACCCAGCGTTACTCCAGCCGTTTATTTTTCCCTTTAAAAGTGGACCAACTCAACTTAGAATCTCAAAGCCAAGCTAAGAACATTCCCGTAGTGTTTCCGAGTTCCCCAATCAATTGAGGCAAATAGGTAAAGGGGTTCATGAGTTATGATCGGACATACAATTAAACAGACAGATAAACAGAAATTACAACTTTATATATATAGGTGCGGGTCTCAATCTGGGAGTAGAAGTAGAAACCAGAAAATTTTGAAAAACAGGAAATGATATTGACTCTCTGTATACATTTAGGTTTAAATGTTTTAATAAAATTAAATACAATGTGAATGACCCTGTATATTCTCAAACTCTACCCTAAACACAATTTTATCATCAAAACTAAAAACAAGGTTCTTAAGATCTGAAGCATCCCGAAACAAATTTTAGGAAATTGATAGCATTAGTTTTTATACAACCTGTTACCAAATATGTAATTTTTGTATTTCCAGATAAAGTGGATCTGTAATTTTGAGTCTAATTTGTTGTTTTTTACTTTAGAGTCTTTTACTGCAATTTTCTACACCATGTTGCTTAATTTGTAAATATGAGATCAATTATGTTGGATCTGAAAAGAGTAAAAGAGAAAGCTATATTTAACAATCATCTTTATACAAATTGAGGTTCTCTTCTCACCCCCTTTTTAGCAATTCCATCCTGGTCTAACATGACAAACTTGTCTTTTTTCGACCTGGTCTAACCTGAGAACTTTGGCTATCTCCGCCCTGGTCTAACCTGACAAACTTGTCTATCTCTACCCTGGTCTTCTCTGAAAAACTTTTCTATCTCCGCCCTGGTCTAAACTGACAACCTTGTCTATCTCCGCCGGCCCTGGTCTATCCTTACAAACTTGTCTTTTTCCGCCCCTGTCTAACCTGAGAACTTTGGCTATCTCCGCCCTGGTCTTATCTGACAAACTTGTCTATCTCCGCCCTGGTTTAACCTGAAAAACTAGTCCATATCTCCGCCCTGGTCTAAACAGACAAACCTGTCCATATCTCCGCCCTGGTCTTACCTGACAAACTTGTCTTTTTCTGCTCTGTTCTAACCTGAGTGCTTTGTCTATCTCCGCCCTGGTCTTATCTGACAAACTTGTCTATCTCAGCCCTGGTCTAACCTGACAAACTTGTCTATCTCAGCCCTGGTCTAACCTGACAAACTTGTCTATCTCCGCCCTGGTCTTACCTGACAACAAACTTGTCTATCTCCGCCCTGGTCTAACCTGACAAACATGTCCCTGTCCGCCCTTGTATGAGTGTGCAGGAGTCCCAGACTGTGCAGAAGTTCATGTAGAACAAGACGAACTGCGTCATGGTCCAAAGGGGACAAGCAGGTCAGAATTCTAAGCAAAGAAATGTGAACTTTTGAAATTTTTATGGTTTTCATAAATAAATAAATTTTGACCTTAGTTGAGAAGGTATACCAGGAATATCGCTAGGTCCAACTGTAGCATAAGCTCCGTTAAAGGAACAGTCACTGCTCCCGCACTTGCATTCTCTAGATGAGTGAAGCTAAATCTCAAGGCTGAGCTAAAATTCAAGCTCATGGTCAAGTTTAAGGTAAAGCTCAAGGTCAAGCTCATGTTCAAGCTCAAGATCCAACTCATGTGTAAGCTCAAGATCCAGCTCATGGTTAAGCTCAAGATCAAGCTCAAGCTCAAGCTCAAGCTCAAGCTCAAACTCAAGGTCAAGCCCTATGTTCACAGTCCAGGTCAAGATCGAAGTAAAGCAGAGAATTCAAGTTTAGTCTAGAGAATGTCTGTATTTCACCGACCTGGATATTTCGATGTAGTTGAACTGATGTTCTCTTAATACAAATTGAACACAGGTTTTCAATTCAATCTCTAGCATAGCTTTAGCGACCGTTAACCTGTCTCCCAGACCAAGGTTAGAGCTCATTGTGTATGGAATCTGGCAGAACATTTTTAATGATATTTTTATTCATCGATAACTGAACATTTAGCTTTAAATACAAGGCATTACCTTATCCGTCAGCCAGGGGGAATAGGTTTTTACGAGACTTCTTCTCATCCTGGATCTAGAACTGAAAGGTTTACTCTGTCCTGATGGATTATAACGGAGATCTGCACTTTGCCCTAGAGGAGTAGGACGGATATCTCCGTTTTGGCCTGGTTGACTAGGGTGGCTAGCTTTTCTCCGCTCTGATGTATTAGGATGGATATATTTGCTTCGTCCTGATGGATTAGAATGGATATCTTTACTTTTTTCTGGTGGATTAGGATGGATATCTTCTCTACGGCCTGGTGGATTTGGATGGATACCTTCTTTTCGTTCTGGTTTATTAAGAGTGATATCTTTACTCGAGTCTAATAGATGAGAATTGATAGCTTCAATTTGTCCTTGTAGATTATGATGGATATTTGAACTCCATTCTGATGGAATTGGATGGATATTTTTAATCTGCTCTTTTGTATTAGGATGGATATCTTTGCTTCGTCCTGATGGATTAGGATGGATATCTTTACTTTCTGGTGGATTAGGATGGATATCTGTTCTCTGCTCTAATGGAGTAAGATGGGTATCTTTACTCCGTTCTAGTGGATTAGGATGGATTTCCGAACTCCAACCTAATGGATTAGGATGGATATCTGCCCTCTGCTCTGATGGATTAAGATGGATATCTTCTCTACGTCCAGGGTAGAGATCTTCTCTAAGTTCTGGCGAAGTAGTACGGAACAAAGGAGACAAAGAAGACAGAGAAAAGATCTGAAACATATTAAATCAGTAAATCTATCTTGTGTGCAAATGACGCAAAATGACGATTTTTCAATGAATCATTAAATTGCATGTGTGTTCAGTAATTGTAAATAATAATGTTTACTAAAAAAAGTCCATAAAGACAGATAATCAGCTAGCATAACCTGGAGGATGTTAGGTTCTGTTCTACAAACAGGGATATCTTTCTCCGGTCTGTAGTAAACCATACTCAGGGTCCTAGCCATATTCAACTCTTCAGCAGTTAAATAAGACTAGAAAATTAAAAGTCAGCCCCTGTCCAAGTCCTTCACATAGTCCTTGTCCTAGTCCCTGTCCTAGTCCCTGCCCTAGTCCCTGTCCTAGTCCCTGTACTAGTCCCTGTCCTAGTCCCTGTCCTAGTCCCTGTCCTAGTCCCTGTCCTAGTCCATGTCCTAGTCCCTGTCCTAGTCCATGTTCTAGTCCCTGTCCTAGTCCCTGTCCTAGTTTCTGTCCTAGTCCCTGTCCTAGTCCCTGTCCTAGTCCATTTTTTAGTCTCTGTCCTAGTCCCTGTCCTAGTCCATTTTCTAGTCCCTTTCTTAGTCCCTGTCCTAGTCCCTGTCCTAGTCCCTGTCCTAGTCCTTGTTCTAGTCCATGTCCTAGTCCCTGTCCTAGTCCCTGTCCTAGTCCCTGTCCTAGTTCCTGTACTAATCCCTGTCCTATTCCCTGTCCTAGTTCCTGTCCTAGTCCCTGTCCTAGTCCCTGTCCTAGTCCATTTTTTAGTCTCTGTCCTAGTCCCTGTCCTAGTCCATTTTCTAGTCCCTTTCCTAATACCTGTCCTACAATTTCGATATTACAAGAAAGAATTCAAGAATGGTTTCTTACCGGAGCATTTACTCCGAGACTAATCTTCCAGTGGAGGAAACAAATCGTTAAAGATAGAATGAGATACATAGTTCTTTTCTCCGTCTCACCTCATAGAACCCAACCTTCAATACCTGCAATAAATGAAGAAACTTTATATTTCATTCTTTTTATTCTTTTTTTTACATTATATGATACACACATAGTACATTTGGACCCAGAAAACTGTAGAAAAGAAAGACGACTTTAAGGCAATATTTAAGCGTAATTGATTTCGTTATATTGCAATTAGTTTGGGATATAGCTTAAAAATCACTTATTAATTGAAATTGTCTTTACAATGCACATTGCAAAATTTCTGTGTTTTATTGGGCCATTTGAAATCTTAGCTTGAGTTTAAAGTCGGTCTGCTATTTCATAGTTTTCTGGTTCTCACTGTTTATATTCATATGTGTATGGAATTCTAGGACTCACATGAAAAAGTTCGTATCATAAAACTATCAAAACTTTTGCGATAAGATTTTTTTTTATATAAATTTAGAAAATTATATAAAAAGAATAAATACTTCATTTCTCGTTGAAATCATGCTTCAATCTTAACTTCATTTCTAGCAATTAAAAGTTGAGTTTTCGTATTTTTACTAGATGTTTTGTTTTCTTCAGTTTTCAAATTTTAGATGAAAACGATTAGAATTTACAATCCGAGCTTAAAAATGTAAATTATTCGCTTTGTAAATAATGTAAAAGATGTTTTACAAATAGCGTGTCACGCTATGTAATGTGAGTGTGACGCATACGTAAAAGTAATCGTCATAAAAGAACCATGACTGACACTTTCTTTCAAACATAAATGGGCAATAGCAAACCAGAATTCATTATTTGGAATACAAAAGAAAAAAGACACACAGTGGTCATCAGAATAAAATGAGAAAGGAGAACCATCCAACTTCAAAATGAATTAAGCATTTATAAAGTTTCCTTGACCATAGAATTATTTTTGTTTTGATTATCCATAATATTGGTTTCAAACCCATTATGGTATTCACCCAAAATACATTATACTCTTTTGGTTAGAATACATTGTAAGGTCGTCTTCTAGAAATTAGATAAGTTGGGTCAAGAATGTAATGCAAGGAAAGTTAACTGCAGTTGCGCATACTCTGCGTACATATTGAAACCAGTTCTCTCTGGGCGGAATTTGTAAACAAGAATAGATGCATCAGTGTTTGTTTAGTATTCGAGGAGGTAAAAAGCATTTAATTTTGATAATTTTGATAATTCACATAATAGTTTCCTATGACCAGAATATTTCATTGATTATTTATGTGAAAGATGGATCCCATAGGTTGAGTCCCCTTTTAATATTGTGGAAGAAAGTGAAGGACGGGAAGGATGAACTAGAACTGTGGGTCTGCATCCTATCATAGATAATTCCAATGTGTGCAGAACAAAGGTGAGGGTAGAGGGGGGTTTCATGCAAAAGAACTGCACTAGGAACGCACGCCTAAAATGTACGTAAATTGCGCACTGTACCGTCTGGGAGCAATGTAAACAATTACAAGCGTAGTGCTCCCACAACAGGTATTAAATTAGGACCGAATGTTTACGAAACGCCAGTCATTTTCTTATACTTGTGATGTGGGAAATTATTATGAATTTTCCTTATTTATTATCATTCCACGTTCCTGCCTATATACAGTTAAACCCTAAATGAGCCATACATCGATGGGTTTTATACTATTTTATTTAAATCTCAGTATTTGCGAAAATAAATAAATAGCCATGAATATAATTCTTTGTTTTGATCTCCTCCCATCCCACTACAGTACACAGGTTTGATGCATCTGATATGACAGTTCCTAGTCGTGTCCCGGTAAGTTTGTACTTTGATTATTTTCTTTGTTACTGTTGATAAACTAGTTTCCATCCTAATACGACACAGTAAAACACAAACCCAACCCTCTCCCCACCCTACCCTAGTTCTAAATACATTGAATTCATCTCTGCTCTTTTACTCCTTACTGCTCATGCTCTTTTCCTAATAGGTTTACAGGAAACCTTCACGATTAACTCAGTGCATACTGCCAGTGCTTTGGATTCATTACATTTTGATGCGGATGCAGATCCGGATCCTGGTTCCGCACTGGAAAAAATGGATCCAGATCCAGGTAACAAGCATTTCTTTAAGATTTGCCAATTTGTTGAAGAAAAGAAACATTTTAAAAATTATTTTTCTCGCTTATTTTTACGCTAAAACTTAATGAACCATTCAGAAATAATTTTTTTTTTGATAGCTTAACAGTTCAGACTCGTGGGGTTTGAGAAAACATTTTTTGTTGCTGTATTTGGTTTAAATTTTGCCACTTGGATCCGGATCTAGGAAGCCAAAATGTTGCGGATCGAACGGGTCCGGATCCGGATCCTAAGCATTGATCAGTGAAACCCAATAACCACATCAGGGTGTTCCTTCACTAGGGTTGACTCATTTTTATGAAATCATTTCAAGAAGCAAAATAGTATTCTTAATCTTATACAGGTATTATTGACCGGCTTGTACATTCGAGTTCAAATAAATATCAAGAATTGACCAAGTTAGGCCAAAAATAAAATGTTTGTTTGATTTGTAGAGGAAAAAACGTTTTTTCCATAATGTACAGTCAAACTTTAAACTGTGACTTGAGCTCGTATTTACAGATCGGTTCTATTGATACACATATTTGATACACATATCAATATCTTTTCTTAAAATTTCATTTCACTGATCATGATTTGTATTATGATTCATGATTAAACCACGTGTTTGCGAAGACCATTCATAATTTGTGTAAAAAAATACATTTACAAGCATGTTTCTGAGAATTCCTAGAAGAATAACTTTTTCTATTCCTAAAAATGATTCCTGAAAACTGTTTTACCACAAACCTTCATATACGATTGAATTTATAGTTTTTGTTTAACGAAGATTAATTTTTATGTTGGAAACATTTTGGAAAAAACCTCAATTATTTTACAATATTTTGTTAATTTGTTACCAATTTTTGAACCTTATACAGTGCAGAGTGCAGAGTAGAGAGTAAAGTGCATAATTGGTAAAGTGAAAGTGAGTTTTATTAGATTAATCTCATTTATCTTATGTAATACATCCTTGTGTAATATCCATTACGCTAATCTAAGGTTATTTTCTGTCAAAAATTTAGCAAGTTTTAAACCTTGTCTCTGACTCCTTGCCGTAGTTTTGGATACGGATGTGATATAAGAGCGCAAATTTGTATTATTAATCCCAAATAGATGAGGCATTGTAGGAGAAGAAAGTTGTAATAGTAATCCTGTACTTAGCTTAACTTGTTTTCTATGTTTAGTTTAGTGTATGAGGAATGAGGATATATTATAGCTTGGGATATTTCTCTCTCGGAGGAATTGATGACCCTGAACATTGATACCTAGACCTAACCTCAACCAAAGATTGTGTATACAAGACGGCCGGAACGGATCCTAATCAAGGACTGTGTTTAAAGACGCCCAGGCCCAATCTTGATCATAAACTATATTACAAGTAGTCCAGGACCTACCTTGCTAAAAGACGATGTCTTCAAGATATTGTACTCTAACTTGGTCCAAAGTCTGTATTTACGAGACGCCTGGTTCCAATCTTTTCAAAGACGTTCTTTTCAAGACTTAAAACGAGAAAGGTTAAGTTGTTTTTACGTTCACATGTTAAAGCATCATCATAACTATGCTTTCCATTGTTTTTTTTTGTTTTTTTAAAAAGGGTTTTTTCTTAGCTTCCACGCAAAAAATGCGCAAAATACTATGCGGTAGGCCTTGGGCAATGATAGAAGCAACAATGATGGAATAAGAAGGTTCTTAAATATTTTTCTTTGCTCGTCAGTAACAAGTAACCCCCTTTGCTCTATACCGTTTCCTCCTTCCCGTACTGTTTCTTGCTTCCCGTACCGTTATCCTCCTTCCCGTACCTTTCCGTCCTTCCCGTACCAATCCGTTCGTCCCGTACCGTTCCCCTCCTTCCAGATTGTTTCCTACTTCCCTTACCATACCTTACTTCCTGTACCGTATCTTACTTCCAATACCGTTCCTCTCTTTCCCGTAACATTTATTACGTCCCGTACTAATCCAGTCCTTCCTGTCCTGTACCGTTTCCTACTTTCCTTACTGTTCCCATCCTTCCTGTCCTGTACTGTTTCCTACTTCCCGTTCTGTTCCCATCCTTCCTGTCCTGTATTGTTTCCTACTTCCCTTACTGTTCCCATCCTTCCTGTCCTGTACCGTTTCCTACTTCCCGTACTGTTCCCATCCTTCCTGTCCTGTACCGTTTCCTACTTCCCGTACTGTTCACATCCTTCCTGTACCGTTTCGTTCTTGCCTTAACGTTTCCTGCTTCCCTTATCAGTTCCTATTAACCTTACCGTGACGTGATTGTCCAGTCCAGTTATAAAACACCCTGTAAATGGAATGAACTCCCTAACCATGCTACTGCTTAGTATTCAATGTATGGTTTTAAATCTGCATTAAACTACATGTAAATATTTGCTTGTAACCCCCTGGTTGTAAGGATTTGATAAATTGACATGTTTTGAACTAATATTATACTTCTTATCATAGTTTTTATAAAGAACAGACCACAGTAATCTCGCAACCTACCAAACTATCAACTAATAGTCAACATAATATATATCAAAACAAGACTAGATTAAAACCAAATATACACCAAAACCAGACTAAAGCTACACCAAAACTAGACCAAAACTAGATTAAAGCTACGACCAAAACTAGATTAAAGCTACACTAAAACTAGACCAAATATAGACCAAAACTAGACCAAAACTAGACTAAAACTGAACTAAATATAGACCAAAACTAGAATAAAGCTACACTAAAACTAGACCAAAACTAGACCATATATAGACCAAAACTAGACTAAAGCTACACTAAAACTAGACCAAAACTAGACTAAAACTAGACTAAAACTAGAATAAAACTAGACTAAAACTAGACCAAACACTAGACTAAAGCTACACAAAAACTAGACTAAAACTAGATTAAAAGTAAACTAAAACTAGACTAAAACTAGACTAAAGCTACACAAAAACTAGACTAAAGCTACACAAAAACTAGACTAAAGCTACACAAAAACTAGACTGAAGCTACACAAAAACTAGACTAAAACTAGACTAAAACTAGACTAAAGCTACACAAAAACTAGATTAAAAGTAAACTAAAACTAGACTAAAACTTAACCAAAAATTGAGAAATATAAAATTTTGGTAAATTTATGTTGTTACAAAGCAAATAAGTTTCACAATAGCTTTGAAAATCGAGTTGGTGATGATGGTAATCATACCTTTCCCCCAAAACTTTAAATTCAATCTAGAAACTTGAAACATTTACACAAGATATATTTATATTATTATATCAAATCCGTCCTAGCTTTTAAAAACAACAATTTACACTGACAACTTAAAAAGTAGCAAGAATTATTTAGTAACTTGATTTAATGAACTTTATGCGTAATTGCAAGTAAACTTCCATTTAAAAAGGAGTGGGATGTTCAATTCACAATGGTACCCTTTCTAACTTTATTTAATGAACAATTAGGAAGGTGTGTTGAATTATTTCAATTTCCTTTATTTTCTCTACAGCATAAATGGGCTCTTATCACACAATTCTCTCATTCGTTTCTGGGTTGTAGCAAATGCCGTACTCTTAAAACGTCGTCCCAAACTGTATCAGTCCAGGTACAATCCGTCCGTTTTCAAAGTCCAGGACACATTCCACACGGCTACAATCCTGTGAACTATCAACGCCGACCATTATACTACTGGGCGCAATCTTGTTAGCTATCGGTGTCAATCATCGAGATATTAGTAATAGAGGGGGCATCTGGAATTTTAGACTTCTTGTTGTACAGCCACTGTACACAATGACCCGATCAGAAATTCTACCTGAGGGGATCATAATTCGTAGATTAGTGTTTTGAGACATTATTGTGCCCCCCCTCTAAACAAAAGCCCTCGTACGCCCCTGCTTCTATCCACTCTTTTCGTATATTATCAAAAATTTCTGAACCCGAAACATTGTTGTTTACACAATTTTTGACACTACAATATAATTCATTGTTGAAAAATATTAAAATTAACTGTCCACACAATACCGTACAAATAGATATACTTAGGATTAAACCCACTGTACTCTATGATACCAACTCAGTCATAAGGAAACATTTTTCGACAAAATTCACTGTACAGTATAAACCTAGCCAGGCAAAATTAGGAGAGTTATGCCCGCCCCCTGAGTCTGAAATTTAAAAGAGTATCGGTGAACAAAACTTCCGAGTTTCCTTTTTGGGATCTTAACATTTTGTAGATTTTGATTTAAAAGATTCAACAAAAAAGAAGAATACATGAAGAAACTATAAAAATAATATTTCATAACAAAAATATTGATATCAACAAAACTGCCTCACCCCATTCGTGAAACCCGGGTTTCAAAACTGGTTTTCATATTGATACCCTGTCTTAAGTTTTGGGCTCTGGTGTCAATACAAACACTAGCTATTAATCCAGCTCTAAATGCCACACAGGGACACAAGCGTAGCTATCAAACAAGCTCACAGTCGAGCTGTACCAAATACCAAGGTACAATCTCAGCCCTTATGTTTTTAACGAGGACACAATTACTCTAAGCTGTAATCAAAGCCGAGTTTCTATATTAACTGATCTATTTACAAATATCTATAGGTTACATGTTAAGTTCCAAGAATGATATATACTTTGGAGAAAAAAACTCAGCGGGAGCGGTTGAACCAGCGGTTGAGATCTAGCCTAGACTCTACGCAGTTCAGAATAAGAAATGCATCTTTTTTGCTCAAATTTAAAATTTGTTCAGCCGCTAACTTTTCTGATTTCAACCGCTGGTTTTCAGATTTTTACAGAACTTTTTTGCTTTCAACCGCTGGTTAAAGATTTTTCAGCAACCTTTTGCTAACAACCGTTTTCAGATATTTCAGCAACTTTTTTGCTTTCAACCGCTGATGAAAAATCTGAAAAACAGCGGTTGAAATCAAAAAAGTTGCTGAAAATCTGAAAACAGTTGAAAGCAAAAAAGTTGCTGAAAAATCTTTAAAACAGTGGTTGAGAGCAAAAAGTTGCTGAAAAATCTGAAAACCAGCGGTTGAAAGGAAAAAAGTTGCTAAAAAGCTGAAAACGTTATTGATGAAAAATTAGATTTCATTTGTTGAAAAAGTGCGATTTAGTGAGCAAATTGTAAATTTCTTCTTAATTTCTTATTCTGAACTGCGTAGAGTCTAGGCTAGATCTCAACCGCTGGTTCAACCGCTCCCGCTGAGTTTTTTTCTCCAAAGTATATATCATTCGTTTGCAGAAATGTTGTTAGACAGCTGATGTTTGAACACTCAGCTAATATTTGAACAGCTCGTTTTTGAACAGCTTATGTTTGAACAGTTTGTATTTATAACATAATAAATGAATAACTAGGTCGAGTTCGTCTAACAAATATTTGAACAATTAAAAGTTTTGATAATAATAATATTCAACGAGATATTGTTCATCTAAATAATGTTTGAACAATGTTGGAAGAATATTTGAACTAAGTCTGAACAAACTGGTTTCCTGATGATTTTTGTCTGAACAGGACCGTTCAACGTTTTCCCATATCTGAACGCTTCTGAACAAAAACACATAATTGAAACTTAATTTTACTTATTTCTGCACTAAATGGTTTTTTAACAATTTTTCGTCAATCCCCCCTCCCCCCACTATAATTCTTTTCTCTCCAGTTTTATAAGCTTTAATTGAATTTAAGGGTGAGGGGGGGAAAATGTTTTTTTAAGGGAACAAAAAGGCTTTAAAGAACTTTCATTAAAATCCCCCGTCAAAAGAAAGCTTTCTAAAAAAGGTTTAAAATGTTTCCAATATGTGTTCCTATAATAAAAAGAGGAAGCTTATCTTCAAATTGATCAATAAGCCCACTTGTAAATATCATAAACAACGTAAAAAAGCCTATAATTTAGTAGAGTTAAATCATTTTACGAATAAAATACTATTTTTGTTTATGTTCTTGATTTCATTTAACTTAAGAAAAGTTTGTGGCCACAAATTAAAAAAAATAATTGGAATAAAAAACTCTCAATTAAAAAAATAAATACTTGTAAATTAACTCTAGGTTAAAAATAAGTAATGCAAATAATTGTAAACAAATTCATTTTTAATTTTGATAAAATTCTTTGCAAAATGTTTAATTCTGAAGAGACATGATTTGACTGAACTATCCTAATATTAACCAGATCAGATGAAGATCATACGAGAAAATACACATTTTTCTAAATCTAAAAATACAAATATTTACATATTTTTAAACCATAGTTTATCTATCACAACATTAGAAGATTATGAAATTAGATCTTTGATCAGTTTTGTGCTAACATCTTATGAGACAATTCTATCAGCTTGAGAATATTTCTTTAGAACATCTTAATACATAGGTTCCTATATTATTTGATCTTAAATTTGTTTAAAAGATTTCAAGCAATGATTCTCTAGTGTTATAAGGTTCTATGAAATTGTAAAAAGATTTTAAAACTTTGTGAGAAGATTTTAAAACTTTGTGAGAAGATTTTAAAACTTTGTGAGAAGATTTAAAAACTTTGTGAGAAGATTTTAAAACTTTGCGAGAAGATTTTAAAACTTTGTGAGAAGATTTTAAAACTTTGTGAGAAGATTTTAAAACTTTGTGAGAAGATTTTAAAACTTTCTGAATATTTCTAATAACATTATAAAGGTCATTTTTAATAGCTCTTAAATCAGGTTAAACTTTGTCATTTAAAGTCTATGATTACTAAAATAAAACTGTCAGATTCTAAAGAAAAAAATCTCAAGATGTGAAAATTGAATAACGATGAATTGAACGATGTTAGAGTTGGGTCAAAGATTGATAATAATATGATGACAAATAGCACAAGGTCACATGATCACAAGATCACAAGATCACATGATCACAAGATCACTTGATCAAAAGATCATATGATCACTTGATCAAAAGATCATATGATCACAAGATCACATGATCACATGATAACAAGATCTAAAGATCACATGATCATAAGATCACAGATCACAAGATCACATAATCACAAGAGCACATAATCACAAGATCACAAGATCACAAGATCACATGATCACATGATCACAAGATCACGTGATCACAAGATAACATGATTAAAAGATCACAAGATCACAAGATCACATGATGACATGATTAAAAGATCACAAGATCACAAGATCACAAGATCACAAGATCACAAGATCACAAGATCACAAGATCACAAGATCACATGATCACATGATCACATGATCACAAGATCACATAATCACATGATGACTTTACCAAAGATCACATGATCACATGATGACATGACCACAAGATCACATTGATTACATGATCAGTTTTTATGACTTTTTCAGCCGCCAATCCAAGAATTCGTCCATTTCTAGATCCTCCAGTTCCTCGTCCGAGGTGTCGCCTTCTTCTTTAATACTCTTCTTCGCTTTCAACTTCTCATCAACTTCATCCTTTTTAATTTCTATTTCTCGAACCTAAACATTTTAATAATTATCTTTAAAGATATCACATTTCAGGAAACGAACGAGCGCAGAATGTCTTTTGAGTTTGTTAAGGCTGAAATCTTTCAATCCGCGTGCATTAAAACATCAAAATGTATGCTGAAATTGGAAATAAAAACTAGGTAAAAAAACATCATGATATTATTTATATTATTTTCATCTATTTGATTTTATTATTAAAAAAAAAGAAAAATATTTTTCAGAAACATATCTGTCTTTAATCTTTATCAAGTAAAGGTGTACAAATATTTTCTTTCCAAATAATTTTTCCACAGCCCACTCAGCACTCTTCAAATATCACGTGGATCATAGAGTTAGCAGGACATTTACAATGATACCGTTATGCCCGAGTGGAAGTAGCCGAAGCCGTGAAGCCCTAACCACCGTGACCTGTATCTACAGACTGAATTTTGTCGTAAATTTTAAATACGAGAAATAATAAACTCCCCCGACCCTATGGTCGGAGCACTCCACTGTTGAACAACTTGCTCTAGCTGCCCTAATGTTGGGACGGTACTTCAGTGCCAGAATTGGATGATCTAAAAATATATAAAACCCTGAGAAAAATTACCCGGCTCCAAGCCCGCATTTGATCTTCTATCTCCTCCATCTGTCTCTCCGCCGTCTCCTCCAGCTCACCCTCCGCCTTGGACAAGGAAATTGTTAATTTTATTGTGATTAATAACATATTTACTAAATAAATATTATGAAAGCAGTACTTAAGATCCGGATCCGTTGGATTCGCAAAATCTTGGCTACCTGGAGGGAGGGTAAATTATTTTTGATGATTGGGGGGGGGGGGGGAAATTGGACATCAAGGCAAGTTTATTCATTCTTTTTTATACTTTTTACCCATACATTCATTCCTATTCTTATTTTTTTCCTAATTCAGCAAGAAAAAAAAAACTTTAAAAATTTACAACTTTGGAGGAAAACATGATTTTCAAAAGGGGGGGAGGGGAAGGTTTTTCAAGAAAATATACAACCCTGCCTAAAGTTCGTACCTGTATGTCTTGAGCTACTGCTACTTCAACAGCGATTTCTTTCTTGAATGCTTCCCATTCTTCTTCTTCGGGATCCTTCAAGTCAAAATTTTAGAATTGATGAGATCTGAATGAATGAATGTGCTAAGATAATGTGCAAGATCTAAATGAATGAATGTGCTAGGATGATGTGCAAGATCTAAATGAATGAATGTGCTAGGATGATGTGCAAGATCTAAATGAATGAATGTGCTAGGATGATGGAATGAGATCTGAATAAATGAATGCGCTAGGAGGATGGAATGAGATCTAAATGAATGAATGTGCTAGGAAAATGTGTAAGATCTTTATGCATGAATGTGCTAGGATAATGTGCAAGATCTAAATGAATGAATGTGCTAGGATAATGTGCAAGATCTAAATGAATGAATGTGCTAGGATGATGGAATGAGATCTGAATAAATGACTGTGCTAGGACTACGGAATGAGATCTAAATGAATGAATGTGCTAGGATGATGTATATCTGAATGAATGAAACAATCAAAATCCACGTAGCCTGATGTTCCTGTCTCGAGATATTGAAAATAAACTGTGTCCGAGTTGATGCGAAATAAATTCCATGTAATTTGTAATTATACCCTTGATTGTATGGATTGGATAATCATCCATCATTTGTACATTTTAAAACTCATAAATACCTTGTACTCAATCCCTCTGGCCTTTGCATCTTGAATAGGATCGTCGAAGAATCCCTCCGGTAAACTAACATCCTCCGTTGGACCAATTACTGGGGGCTCAGTCCCCTTTTTGGAATCAAAAAAGTCCGAGGGGACTCCTTCCCCTTCCTCCTCCAGGTGTTTTATAGAGCCTCCGGCAGGAGTTTTAAAAGAGTGTTTGTTTAAAACAGGTTCACTTGAAATCCATTCCTTGCCGTCGGCTTTACTATTCGCCTTCGGGGCGGTGGTATTAGCTGGAGTGGGTCGACTGTTCTTCAAAATGGATTTCTGGGGAGCTTTGTTTAGATTTAGAAAAGCTTTAGTTTTCGCCGCGTCGAAAAAGTTCTCCGGTACTCCGGCACTGCGTGCGATTTTGCGCTTTTCCTCATTTTGCTCTTCAGCCTTTCGTTTTTTCTCGTCCTCTAATATCCCGATATTTAATTATAATTAGTCAGTTTAATTCAAGAATTCAATTAAATTTTATTAATGACTTTTCATAAATAATTTTTATTTGCATGTAGATTAATTGCGACGTTTTTCTAATAAATTACTGGAATTATATTATGTAATTATGAAATTATTAAAACATTTTGATAAATGAAAATAAATTAATAATAGCTTCAAGTTAATCACTGATTATTTGTTTAATATCAGGTTTCCTATTAAAGCAAGCTCTCTCGAACTCAATTTATACTTTTTCAGTTTATCCTTCCCTCCGCCTTTCTCCGCCTGCCAAAAACAGAGGGCGGTTCAAATAATATTTTTATTTTTTAAGAGTTAATAAAATATAAAATTGTAAAACTAGACATTTTCCTGTTTTTTGGTTTAAAAATGAAACACTGAACAACTATGTAAATAGTAAGGATGACAAAATCAGTCTGCCTTTTGATTTAAAATGAGAACATGGACCAGTGTGCTGTATTTCATGTTAAAATTATTAACTAGACCACTGTGCTGTCTTTATGGTTTAAAAGAAAGAACTGAACAACTGGAAAAGTACTAATGGTAAAAAAAACTGGACCACTAAGCTGTATATAAAATTGTTAAAAATGATAATAAACTGAACCACTGTGCTATATTTTTGGTTTGAATTAACTGGACCACTGTACTGTGTTTTCGGAAAAAAATATTAAACTGGACCACAGTCCTGTATTATTAGTAAAAGAAATAATTTGGCCCACTGAGCTGTATATTTTTTAACAATTATAGACTGGCCTACTGTGCTATATTTTTTGTTAAAATTAATTAAGTGGGCCACTGTGCAGTATATTGGGAAAAATGATAAACTGTATGCTCCGATTTTCCGGGATCGCTTTATATTGTATGATTTCATGACCGCAATCCTTTCCTTCATCTTCTGCATCATGAGACGGAGTTCCGACTGTGAAATCTTTTTCGCCATTTTGTTTCTCTGAAATAATCAAAAAAAAATTTGACAAAATTTCTATTTTCATCAATAAATTCATTAAATAAACTAAATATGCAATATAGGATAATCTATGTAAATTTATTACAAGGTCTTGTATAGGTTAATGAGTGATAAATATTACAATAAATAGATTTACATTTTGATAAATTATTTAGACTAGACTTTGGTTTTCAGTTTTGTTTATTATAAATGGCAAGCAAGGTAGGTCAGGGGAGTCCAGAAAGCGTGGAACTATTTTCAGCAAGGAATAAATTTTCCAGTCTTGAATGTGATTTGATTGAGATCAGAAATTGAAATTTTTGATATAATTAAAATATAGGAACAAATCTAAATAAATAAAGTACATGATAATTGAGTATTTAAAGTATTAACTGATCTAAGCTTGTAGAAAACCAAAAAATTGACTTCAAAACAATTTTTTCCGTTCCAAAACTTTAAATTTACTGATATATATTTTATAGTTATGAATGAAAATCGTTCAAACCCGTGCTTAGGATCTGAAAGCAGATTCGAAGACTCGACCAAGTTCGACGCAAAATATTCGAAAAAACAACATGCAATATCTTCTTATTATCCTCAAAACTTGAACTTGAATTTTTTTCATGTAAAGGAATTGACAGATTAAATATTTCTAAAAATTACCCAGCCCAGGGACGGGGGTATTATTGCAACTAGGAGGAAAAATATGTTAAGGGAGGCTTTAACCAAGCAGGCTTTTGTATACATATATTTTGCTACAATCCATGCAAATAATCAGGTTCACCAACATCAATCGTCGTCTAGGGAAAATCATTTTAAAGGAAAAAATCTTTTTAAGGTAACAAATACCCCTGTTCAGATCAGATGCGGATCCGAATCCGGATCCGCATCAAATAACATCGGATCCTAACCACGGACTTAAACGAACCAAAATATCACAAGAAGCTAAAGATGTTTAATCTAATTAATGAAAATTTGAGAAATTTAGGATTTTTTTGGGTTCTTTAACGGTTGATATTTTATAAAAGAACCTGATAAACTAACAACTAACAACTCAACAGCCATATATTAATGCCGTTACGGCGGCACTGGGTTCGTTCTTTGGTTACTACATACAACTAGCATTGATATTTAATCGGCTGGTTACCAAATCAGCTCGATAAATTATGTATTATGAGGTATTGATTAAGACTAGATGTTGCGCAGGGTGTATATTTTCATGAAAAATCATCCCACCTCTTTTGAAAATCATTTTGAATGGTTTTATTGGCTGAATTTGGGAAAATAAATTATTTTGATCGGAAAACTTTCCTTTTTATGTCCAATTCTTCATTTTTTTTAATTCTTAAAAATATACACCCCTTATGTTGCATTGAATACATGACTAGAATAAAGTATGTGAATTCTATGAATTGATCTACACTCTACAGTTTGATTAATATCAAAAAATACACTGTAAATAACGCATTTTGATTTTTGTATCATTTTAGCGCTGAAGGGTGAGCATTATCTAGAGGGGAAAACATTGCAAAGTGTCTAATTTAGTTAAATAAGTGCCGTGGATCGTGATCCAGTTAAAAATCTAAAAGTACTATTCCATAAATCCAGAATCATTTGAAGAATTCGGACTTGAGTCATAGGTTGAAGGGCTCCTGGAGGTTCGGCCTAAATCCGTGTTACTGCCTAGAACCTGCCTAGCGGCCTGAAGGAACTCTAATGATATTCTAGGCAGATAACTGCCTTGTCCAAGCAAACCTTCATTATAGGCTATATGAGAACCTCGCCTAAAAAAAAAATTGAACTATGAAAAATTTTAGAATATTTTTTTGATCTTTTCAAATCATATTTTCTCCTAAAAGTGCGATATAAAATGAACTAAAAATTATGCATTTAAAAAACTAATAGTTTTTAAGAATATAATAATAAAAATGTCTTACTTTGTTCTAAGGAGAAGTGTGTTTCCATACTTATACTTAAACAAGTCCTCTCTGTAACAAAACAGAAATTATGTCAATAACATTTCCTTTCCTCGCAAGACAAAAACGAAAGTAAAAAGATCAAGTTCACATTAAAAACTTGATTCTATTAACAAATCAGCAAACAATAGACGTAAAAGGTTCAACTTCCTCCTCTTCTCAACGTGCCACCCCCCCCCACCAAGCCGTCTAGTTCACCTCCTTCCAAAGTAGCGTATATGGACATGGAATTTGGTTGTGTTGTGAAGTTCTTTTGACCACCTAACCCCTCGCCCATTCCTTACCCCTCCCTCTCCTTGCCCATTCTCAGTACCCCCTTCCCCCCCCCCGTCAATCTCTCTCCCTCCATCCTCCCCTCGAATACATTACCTGATGTTTTGTGGTAAACAAACCATATCGTCCTCACTGTTCACCACTAGAAGCGGAACAGATACCTAAAATATAATCAATTAATCAACCAATCAGACAATCAATCAGACAATCAATCAATCAGATAATCAATCAATCAATCAGACAACCAATCATACAATCAATCAAACAATCAGTCAGACAATCAATCACACATGCAATCAATCAATCAAACATTCAATCAATCAATCAGAAAATCTACAGATCAATCAATCAATCTATCAGACAATCAATCAGACAAGTTACAGATCAATCAATCAATCTATCAATTAATTGAGCACGGTAGGAAAAAAAAGTTTCAAAAACCAAAGTATTATCAACCAAACGATCAATATATAACCCCATCATTCCATCTTGATTCATCAATCCATCAATCCATCTTGTTTCATCAATCCATCAATCCATCTTGTTTCATCAATCCATCAATCAATCAATCAATCTTCTAGTCCATAATCCAATAATCCATTATTTATGGATTAATGGATTATCGATTAGTAGGACCATTAATCATCAATTCATAAATTCAATTCAGCATTCCGATAATATTTTAATTCATCAATTTTTAATCCTTTTCTCTTTAAAAAGGCAGCTATTTTTAAAAAAACTTAGACCGCCTTTAACTTTAATATTTAGGGTGCTCGGGAGGTTTTGACACCGACCGGCCTTCTGGCCGTCCCAAGTTGCCTTATGCATGAAAAAAAAATTTTAAAATCCTTTACATTACTTTTTCTTAAAAGCAAAAAATTTCATAACGTCAAAGTAAAAGTTCTAGGGCAATAACAAGCTGGGGGGCGTTTGCCCCACACCCTCACTTCACAGTCTGTTTAGGGTTTATTTATCAATCCATCAATAGGATCATAAGTTACAAATATAATGCAAATTAATTAACATATTTAATGGAAACAAAATAAAATATTTAAATTAATTAAAATCACCTTTCCGATGAACTCCATTGGATTGTTATTAGCAAAATAGTCCTCTGCAGAACTACACCCAGCAAAGTAATGATGGTTTCTATAAAAATAAATAATTCATTAGAAATAAAAATTTTCCAAAAAAGAAGTAGTCGTACAAAATGTAATCGTCTTTTGAGAGGAAATGCGCAAAATTTTTCCGGAAATATTCGCAGGACGGGTGGTTATTTTATTTAATTGTCCCAACTGACGTTAAGTAATTGAACGTCTCTCTGTTGGGGGAATCATAGGTCGGTAATGTTGGTCAAAAGTCGGTAAAATAAATATCAGAACAAATGGTAATTTTCTCAAATATCTAGTCTACTTCAAAATATGAAAAATAGACATTTCAGAAATCTTCGGAACTGACTAATAATTTGACATTTGTTAATTTTACCTACAGTTGAACCCACAAAACTATGGAATAGCAAGACGACAAATAGTCGAATCAACATGAAACACGGCAAGTATTCAATTCAATTCAATTAAAAAGTTGATTTCCAAGCTGCTGGGATAACTTTTTGCTTTATAAAAACAACAAATAAATAAAATTGTTTAAATGTAGTCTTGGTATTCACCAGTTTTATGGGACCCTCTTTCAAATTATGCTATTTTTTACCTGACAAACTCGTCGAGCGTTGCGGCATTTGCGCACATCTCAAGGGAATCGTAACAGTGACTACCCAGAAGTTCAGCGTTGGGTAGAATAAACAATTTCTTCACCGCGTTCGTCATTCTTCGGTCAATGTGCGGGAAATTTTGAGCCATTAACCTGATACCGGTATAATAATATAATCGGGCATTTTTCAATAAAAATTGGGAAAGAGCAGGTATCATTAACTAACATTAACTTTAATGATATTTAAAAAATTCCGTTAACAAATATTCAATACTTTTTTAGCAATCGAGATTTTAGCATTTTTTCGACAGAAAATCAATCTAATCTAATAACTAATAAAATATATTTGAAGTTAAAATCCAGTGTTAATTTCTGTTCACTTATGAAATAATGATAATAAAGATGTCTTATTTAAGAAAGTAATATCTACACAAGTAGCAATAAAAATGATGATAATAAGATGATAGTGATAAAAATAATAATATTACTTGAAAGCTTCACTGATATCGTATGCTGGGCAAAGACAGCAGGCCGCTTGAATAGGGGTCAGCTCACCACATTTACCTGAAAAAAAAGAATTTTTGTTACAAACTCGAATTTTCTATCATCTTTATCTTTGCATTGCATTGGGTTGTATAGAAATGGGGGTTACAAAAACTCAATTTCTTTGTATGCAATTGAAAATCTAATATATTTTTATTTATGGTTTTACTTAATCTCCATCAAAATGTTTCGGAATTGTGTTTTTTGACCAATAAGCCTATTCATATATTTTTAGATGAATATTTATAAGTGGAGACATTTGCCCATCAAAATACTTTAATATATATCGGCAAGTGTCAAAAAATTGGTTTTGATGTCTAAAATTGTGTAAAATGGTGTTAACACTCGGGGGTAGGCTATCTATTCACTATGCAGGGTAGGCTCTCGATGCACGACACTGGTGAGGGGGATTGTACCTAGATAATTTACAAGTAATCCACTTCCAGCCGAGATACCGACCATTCCTAGAAAACTTTTAGGATACTTTCTCCGAACAAACTCAACCTAGATAAAAACAAACAAAATGAGAAACAAAATCAAAACAGCTCAATAATATTTTTTTTATATCTGTGAATTTTATTGGCTTTTATATTAAATACTAGCTCAAGTGTGTTGCCCGTGGAACTTACAATGAACACTTTTTTGAAATTTTAATTTAAATTTTAGCCTTTACTACTCCCAAGGTCCCCGTGGGTTTCCTAAAAAAATCAGGCAATTTGGTCCAGTCGTTTCGCCAGCTATGGCTAACATGTATGTATGAGCCAAGAGCAAGAGAAAATATACACCCCTCATTAATAAATTCTCAATAGGTCTTATTTGAACTCTGGAAGATCATTGCCGTTTTTTTATGCATGAGAAGTATTGAAATTACCGTTTTTACTTTGAAAATTAATGAATTCTAACAATTCCATGCTTCAAAAATAACTGTACAAAGTACCATAATAATCAATTTATCCATGATCCGGCAAAGCTGTTCCTTTAATAATACCTGCTTAACTGTATCATCAGCTTCCCCAAGAACATTAAAGGCAGGGCTTTTCAGTTTACCAACATGTCCACGTCTTAAACATGATTTTTTAAAATAAAAATAGACTGATTAGTTCATTTACTCCATAGGAATAATATGGCAGGGGACTCAGGGTCGAATTCAGGAATTTTTCCAGGAGCGGGGCTTCGTATCCGTTGGGACCTAAAAACCCCCTGAAAACAATAGATTTCACTGGTCCAGTGGGGGGGCTTAGCCCCCTTAGCCCCCATAACCCCGACTGCACTCCTCTGGCAGCGGTGTATATTTTTCAGAATTACCCCACCCCCAGGGGATTATGGGATTATTTTTGATGATTTTTTTTTTTGGGGGGGGGGAATAAAAATTTGGACATCAAAATGCAACTACTCTTATTGATACTTTTTACCCCAAAATTCATTGATTTTCCATTAAACATCATTTACTTTCAGTCAATAAATCTCTAAATAAATTTATTTATATTATACATAGCTTCTGAGGAAACAAAATGATTTTCAAAAGGGGGGTGAAGAAAAATTGAGAAAGTATACACCCCTGTAATATGGCATGGAATTGACAAATTCTTCAGTTCTTCCAGCTTTGTGAAAACAGCTATATGCTATCTAAGCTCTCCTTCTGCAGTAGATTTTCATGTATTTTTGTTACCGTGTGTTTTGTTAATATCTGTCATTATTCATTACTAAAGAGATATGATTTGATCTGATTTTTTATTTCAAGGCATTTTCCTCAAAATAACCAACCAGAATGAAAAAATACATAAACCGCTCAGTTTCATGTATAAAAATCCCCAAAATTTGTCCCCAAAAACGCCTAAAGCAAGCTTTTAGTTTCACATCATAGAAGAAGGATAATGCTCATAAAAATCGAAAAATTGAGTTTCCAAAAAAAGTTTAAATATCTAAATTTTTCACCTGTCAAATACTATTCCTCTCCAGCCCCGTTTCAAAGCTTGCTTCATGTAAAGCTTGGTTTCCTAAAAAAAATGTAGAAAATTTTGATAACTCATAATTCGAATTAAAATGACTGTAATCAAATTTTTTCCGGACAAAAGAAATATTTATTTGAACTTGTTATAAACATTATATTTTTCTTATGTCATGCGTTAAGAAATCAAATTTTTATTTAACCCGTTCTTAAATCGGTAAGAAACTATTTATTGTGTAGATTATGTTTTAATAACTGCATTTTTTATCTGAATAACTTCACGTTTTTAAAAATAAGCAAAATGCCGGCCGTAAATACCTTCGATGAACCGGTTATGGTGTGAAGAAGAATAATTATCGGCGAATCGTCTAATAAGCCGGGATCCGAACACACCTCCACGAAAACCTCCCCGCCATCCTTCACAAAAAAATCCGTAAAATATTAGTTAAAAAGTTCTTTAAATTTAAAAAAACTTACCTCCATGTTTAGCGTGTGACTATCAATACTGATATTTGAGAATTTAGTGTAGAAGAAGGATTTAACCATGTGCAGTCCTGTTCACAATATTCGGGCATATATCTTTTTAAATCAATCTTTTAACTAACGAAATTTTTCTTAAATAATTTTTATGTAATCCATTTCAATATCGTCAGTGGTATGAATTCAAAACAGAAACATGAGTGCACTGCTTAGGATCCATTTTACTTTGATCCAGATCCGGCTCCTGGATCCGAACTGGAAAAAAATAGATCCGGATCCAGGTTAATTCTTTAAAATGTACTAAATTTGTTTAACAAAGCAGCATTTTCAAATTTGTTGTCTTTTTTTCGCTTATTTTTTTGCTAAAACTTAATGAACCATTCATAAATGAGGAAATTTTTATAATCTCTCTTTTTAATAGCTCAGATTTGGGTTTGGAAAGTAAACATTTTTTTTGCAGTTTTTGGTTGATATTTTGCACCTTGAATCCGGATCCGTGAATCGGCATAAGTTTGTGGAAACGGATCCATGAAGCCAAAATCTTGCGGATCCAGCGGCTCCGGATCCTAAGCACTGCATGAGTGGCATGTCCAGTTCCCAACGATGCCTTTTTAGACTTGAAGAAAGCACAATTGAAAACAATCAGTTTTCAAAAAAAGGAACATGGATATCTTTTTTTTATATTTTATGAGACAACTTTCAATTTACTCCAAGTTCATAACTGGGTTGATTCATTGGAACTTAAACGGAGGGAGCTCAAGCCTACAACCTAGATTGAAGGTTTGACAGCGATTATTTTATTACAGGTCCTTTCTTGGTATTGATTTAGCTCTGGGAAATCCTGTAATTGATCTAATGTTTGGATTGAAAAATTTTTATGTCTTAATCCCTATATTGATCCATGTGTAGGAGGCCCATGGAGTAGGAATGTATGAGGGATTCTTTAGTTCTCCACAGTGGTTCAGTATTTTTCTCATCCTAATCAATCAATCAATCAATAAATCAAATGTGATCATTATAATTTTGCAATTAAGAATTTAAAAAAATGTAGAAAATTTAAAAATTAAATTGGAATTTTTAAATATAATCAGAAATAAATTTTAAATTTTTTTTTGTATTATTTCTTTGAATTATACAACATTAGCCGAAGTATCCGGCGTTTCCCGTGGAATTTTTTTAATCGAATTTTGAAAGAAAAAACTATTTTGGAAGAAAAATTCGTTTTAAGAAAAGAAAAATTTCTAATTTTTTTGCCTATGTTACCCCAAGGGTACCCACGGCCTCCCTCAAAATATTTCACCCCATTCGGTCCAGCCGATTGGTCAGCTAACATATATACAATAAATATAATCAATTTATTATTCAATCAAAAACAGATAAACATCCTCAGACAGTGTTTTTTTGGTGAGGTTTGTTCTAGAATAAATATATATATATATATATATTTATGAGCAAAGAGCTTTATTATTTAGATGAAATAGTTATAAACCTGAGAGCTGCGGCATGGTTCCGTCTTCTCTCCGGAGTAAGTCGAACCTCGTCTTGTGTTGAATCCTCAGTATCCTGGGGAACCTGGAAATCTGCAGTCCTCAGATCAAACTTGATCAACTGAGCACTCTGACCTCCGCTACTCTCTAGAGGAAGAAAACGTTTTAAGTTTTAACTTTTATTAAAATAATGTTTAGTTAGGCTTTCAGGGCGCTTCGAGCCCATCTTTTATTTCAACTTTTGATAGTTGCTCAATCTTCTAACATTTTCACTTCAATGAAACAATAATCAAATATCTTGCGTATTTACAATTTTTTTCAATGATTTTCAAAATTTTACAGAAATCAAAAAAATGTTGAAACAATTGTTGAGTGATTCTGAGCATTCGTAATTTTTCGCCGAGGTTATTTGAGGCCCCGAAAATTTTTTTGGCCCGATCGGCAAAGTATATATGTAGATTGTAAATAAACCATTAAGTATAGAGTACCTTTAAATTTACAACTCTACCTTTAAACCAAAACTAACAAAAAAGCATGAAGTCATCTGACTCCCCACTAAACGCTATATAGATCTTTGGTCAGTGTACTATAGATTACTGCAAAACGCACTGAACGCTTAGTAGAGCGTCATTTATGATGCGAGGGATATGTACGGCGCTAGTAAAAAGGGTGTTATTATACACTGTTTTTTTAGCACTCCTAAAACTGGACAGTCGACTAAACTTCAAGCGCATGACTTCGTTTCTCAAACAAAAGTTTTAATGTGAATTGGACTTCTGGCTTTTTTGAATGAATGATTGTTTTGAAGAAACACCAGTTCCATTTATTTATAAAAGGTTCTAATTCATGTATTCGACAAAATTAAACATTTTAAATTTTGAGTTTAAAGTCTTAACTAACCTATGTACAGGATAATGTACTGCAGAGTCGTGAGAAGGGGTACAGCTAGGAGTACACCGTACACCTTGTACCTCTGGATCAGCACACAGGCCGTACTGTACAACATTGCTTTAAAATACAACCAATAATATTATAATCTAGAACTTTATAAATTTAGTCCAAAGTTTAAATCAAGAACTTAAAGGGACTGTAAGCGTAATATCAAGTGACCTTCCATTTATAGAATAGCATGTAAGATTTACAATGATATTCTTTAATGGGGGTCACATAAATTCAGTCTGCTTATAATAATCTCATAAAATTTTAAGACAGGGTCGACTTTGAAGTGTCAGAACGTCTTGGGCTTTTATTTTACCGCTCTAACTCACTTATGCTTTTCTGTAGCCCTTTTCATTTACATTTTAGCACTATAAACCACTTATTGTTAGCTTTGGTATTTAAGTAATTGGCAAAATTCTCAAAGATTTTTAATTAAAAGGTTGAGACCGTTATATCACAGTGATCTATTATCTATCTCATCGTTCCGGACAGAGGTTTACAGGATACCATTGTGAATCGGACATGCATGTCTATAATAGAGGGTTACTTGAAATACTTGAAATTAAGCGTACAGTCCCTTTGATAAAGGAGTTAAAAACATGGGATATCTAATATATCAAGAAACTTTCAAGAGAAAAATTTAAATATTTTGAAAACATTTTTACTAAACATAAACAAAGCCTTACATTTGCTTTTTGAGGCATATAAAATATTTAAATTAAACCAAAATTATTGTAAAAAGAATGATCTCGCCCTGGAAAAAAAAAAACTCGTATCAGTAACTTGGATAGTCATAATGTCTTGAAATTTGTTAGAACTAAAATATTCTGATGAACCGATAATTTTTGCCCCACCCCCTTCAATTACTAAAAATAAGTATTTCCCTATTTTTAAACCCTATATTTAAAGTTGACGGGAAAAATGAAGAAAAATTGGCAAAATCAAGTTCCAAATATAATCTGGTTTAGCTAATTTGACGATAAATTATAAAATATCGTTTTCCTTCTATTTGTATCGAAGAAATTCTAGGAACCTTGAATGGTTTAATAAATAACTTTTACTAGCGCAATGGCTTAACTATTCATATAAATAGAAGAGACTTATCATAATTTCAAGTTATCTGTAATTCCAATATGGCATTGCCTGATTCGCAAGTTACAATTGTACCCTTTCGAGGTTTTATTTTCTTAAACGATACATACAATGGAATTATTCAATAGTAAAACTAAAATTTGCTTGCAAATAATATCAATGGCATATTTATTGCAACTGGGTTACGAAGCACTTAACCGATTTCCAAAATTTCGGACAAAAGAGTTTAGATTCTCGTTGCACCGCAATATCGACGGTAAATAGAAGCAAAAATTATAAAAGAAAATTTGTTTCAATTTTTTAGACCCGATCGGCTTTGATGGTTTGAATAAAAAATCTCGATAATACAGAGATGTAAATATTTAAATGAAAATGTAAATATATGTTCTTTCCTTGATTTTCTCTCAAAAATGTATAAAGAAGAAGGAAAATATTTATAGATAAATTGGAAAATGCTAAACTGAAGAATAACCGGTAATTTATTATTGACAAACATCAGTAATTCTCTAAAAGATAATGGTTTTTTGGTTAATAGTTTGGTTTGGCTATTCCTTAAACAATCTTCAGAAAAGTCAACCAACTCAGTTTACAACTTTAAAACCAAACTATGAATTCAAAATAAAAATTTGAGGCAAATCGGTCCAAGGTTTCATGGGCCATGGTCAGACATCAAACAGACAAACAGAGCAACAGAGATCACAACTTTCTATAGATAAAAATCATCGTTTAAGAGAAACTCCAAATCAAAATGACCAAAGTGTCTTTGAGCATAGATACAGCAACAAAGGGGACAATGAGTATTCCAGATAAGACATACAAATTATTTGTTGTGGTCCTGGGATCCCCCTCATCCATCCCGGGGCCGGGGATCCAAGAATCCCAAATTCCGAAAACTTGGAGTAGTACTATTAGAATAATTTTGTAGAATTTTGCAATTATCTTTTATATTAAAAACATTTTCAAGGAAGTTGAAGACGTATTTTCAAATAATTTAACTAATTATTAATAATTATTAATTAAATTATTTAGCGTGGATGGCTGTACCTCTTGACCTTAGCCTAAGCAAGGATGAATAAGATATCATTATTTTGTACCTTCAAATTTATATTTTCAATTGTAGATTACAGAGAAAATTGAGAAAATATCTCAATTTAACACGTTTAAAGATATTTTACTCAAAAATACTTTTTTTTATGTATAAAGAAAATCGTTGTTTATCGGTCATGCCACTCTCAAAATAGAGAATCAGTTGAAATTACCCCAATAATCCCTTTAAATAACAATCATATAAGTCTAATATAAAAAAGCATATTGTTCCTGATGAAAAGGCCTGGTTTAAAGTACTGACAGGTGACCCAGGAGTGCACATGACCCCTCAGCCCACCCAGCCAGCCTGGCTGACCCATACTTCTGAAAGGAATGGTAGAAGCTAAAGTTAATCATATTTTATTGGTCCAAAGGCCGGTGTTCAAGTGTGTATAATGAAAGGGAACAAAACAACAAGTTTTATTTACATGATGTAAACCTTATAATTAAGACATATTATTAACTATTTTATTTAATTATTCCTAGGAGGTAATTCATTATCTCTTTAATTATATTTATGGCCAGAATATTTGTAAATCAGATCTGAGCAAAATACTCATGTTAATCCTTAATCTAAAAAACGCGATTTAACGCGGGAAAAGGTAAAAATATGAAATAGAAAAAAAACTTAATAAGAAAAAATGGATCAAGTACTAAATAAGACAGAATAATAAGAAGAAAATAAAGAAATGGCACACCATATTGTACACTGTTAAATTCAAATTGCTCAGCTTGTATACACTGTACATGTATTCTGTACATGTAGAGAATAACTCCAATTAAATATAAACTAAATCTTCGCAGCTGCCCCGGAAGTCGGAATGATTTGCTGAACAAAATGGCGGATTTTCCACGAGTTCCGAAAATCCACCAAACTTGGTTTGGTTTGGCTAGATCTGAGCTGAAGACTAGGGCAGGGGTAGAAAGACAGGCTGGTGGTCGCGTGCTAACAGCTGAAAATATATCAGTCAATTGGTTAGCATTAATAAATAAATGATTTTTGTGAAGTTTATTAAACCAACCTTTTTAATTGCTTGCTTGGCAGCTAGTCGTGTTGGCGTTTATTTCTTTAAATTATTAATTATTCTGTCTTTTCGGCAGCCTTGACGGGGATCAGGCCCATGATCTTGGTCTTGATCTCGTCGACCTGAACTTTGACCTTGTTCAGGACTTCATCCACCTTGTCCTGCACAAAACATTACATCAATTAGATAGTCTGCACACAAAAAAGTCAATTGAAATTGAAGAAATAGTATTGAAAACTGAGAAAATAGTGCAAGAATGTGCTTTGGAAATAATCTTTTTTTTTGAAGAAACTTTTTTTTAACTTTTTAAAAAATTTCTAAGAAATGTATTTATTTTTTGAGTTTAATTCCGGGAATACACAGGGAAAAGTTTAGAACTCTCGCAACATGATGAAATGAATGGAAAGAGAATAGAAGGTATCAGAGGAAAGAAAATGTGAATACAGTGCTGTGCAAAAAATCAGATCAATTAAAACGAAAACAGATTATTTAGGTTTTCTAAAATCATATTTATTCTATCCCTCTTTCCGTTCTATGCTCTTACCTGAGAAAAATAAGCGTGGAAAAGGAAAGGAAAAGTAGGATGGAAGGAAGGTAATAGGAAGATTCAGTTTTCTATGAAATATAATTCAGTAGGATAATGGGAATAGGAATAGGAAATGCAAATAATTAAGTTTAGATAAAAATCCAAATTTTAAGTCTGTTGTTAATTGGTATCAGAGACCGATATTATCATTATTTTGATATATTTATCTTGCGAAATAATAACTTTTCCTATATACGCTTATTCTCTAATTCTTATATCTTTGCAACTTGAAGTCGTATGTCATTTGATATTTCAAACTATGAATTCTGCTTTATGAAATAGTCAAAGTTTGAACTATTAAAGTTTTACTAAATCTGGTCACAAAGATATAGGTATTTAAAATTAAGGGGAGAGATCACTTACTTTCTATCTTTACGTGATATATTCATCGTAATTTTTTTATAGTTAAATTCAAGTAATGTTTAGATTCTATCTTTACCTGATATATTCATCGTAATTTTTTTATAGTTAAATTCAAGTAATGTTTAGATTCTATCTTTACCTGATATATTCATCGTAATTTNATTCATGAGGTAGGCCTTGGGGATGGAGAATACTCCAATCCAGGCAAGTATGATCAGGGTGATAGCGTTGAACCAGGATCCGATATAGGTCAAGCACCACAAAGACAACCCGAACTTGAGGGTGTCCAGCATGTTGTCGACGAGGAAGAGACGGCGGAGCTCCGAAACGCCAACGTTGAGCTTGGCGGCCAGATCGGCGGATACAGCCTCAAGGTTCTCAGTGGGGATATTCACAGGGAGGTTGGATACCTTCGGTAAGTACGTGTTATGAGAAAATTGAGTAAAAGATTTTTTTCTAGAAAAGGTTCTCAAGACGTAATTTCAAGTGGCTCTCCATTTAAAGGTACATGTCCGATTCACAACATTTGACTTGAACAAGAATGCATGAGATTGTGGTTTCCAATTTCAATTCTGCTTCAAAATAATCAAGCAGATGGTTAGTAGCATTAAACACTTTTAAATCGAGAAAAACGACTTTTATCTTCCAGATTATTGATAAGAGAAATGTTTAAAGGTTACAGATGTGAATCGGCATGTCCCTATTTAATTGGTAGGTCATTTGAAATAGTGTTAATCACTTGAATAGTGTTATATTTATAATAATTTCAAATATCTTTGTATGAGAAGTACGGATTTGAACTCAGTGCTACTAACCTCACACTTAACCTATTATCTTTGTAACCTGACGGTGTAGACCTAATTTATTTCAAATTGTAACTATATAATCTTGTACAATTCATAGAATGCTAATCTCAAAGGTCTGCAAAAATCAGGTTGCAAAGATATAAGGATTAGAAAACTATAGTATTCATTTCCTTTATAAACTTTTTTATAATTTGATACTAAATAATGTTGAGGATGAGTTATGTTACTCCAATTAAATAGAAGAATAAATATAAAAAGACTTAAAAGAATAATAATGGAAAGAAAAAACGATTGTCTGCATCAAATACATGCATCAATTACTAGCTGCCAAATATTTCTTAACAAAAAATACCCATTTTTTAAAATAAATTGAAGAAAAAAAACTTACAGCGGAGAGAGGATCAGATCCCTGTTCTGCCTTGCCTAGCATCACCATCCCCTTGGTGTAGAGCTTGACAGCCCCCACCCCCAGCAGCAGCAGCAAGCACAGGTTAGATACAACATAGATCAGAGAGTAGTAGCACAGGGAGATCAGGCTTACTAGGATAGATATATAGACTAGGATTAAAATATAAATAGATAGATAGATAGAGGGTAGATGTATAGATGGATAGATAGAGTTGATCGAAATATAGATAGATAGATAGACCGATAGAAGGATGAGTTGGTTGGCCTGGGTAAAAACGGATGAAGGATGAAATGCGGAAAAATGAATGAATAGATGAAAAAAAACGACTAAAAAGATTAATTAAGAAACAGCAGGATGAATGAATGATAGAATGAATTAATGAATTAAAAGAAAAATTAATGTTATGGGCGAAAGGATGAAAGGATGAATGAATTATTTGTCTCTAACCAAGTACGGATCCGAAAACAGCTCCTGAGAGGATGGGGTTCTCCCAGTATACCAGGCTACACAGACTCATTTTATCTGAAATATATCATCATTGCAACATCCAAACTTCCGTAGTTTCAATCTCCAAGAGCGAATGTCATAATAGCCGTCGTTTTGTATTTCCATGAAGACGTTTTTTAGAAGAATGAAATCTATTAACAACACCCCCAAACTGTTTAGTGTCATGAATCCTTGATAAATAAATGCTCAGCTCCTGGATGGATAAATCCATTTGCAAAATCCCTAGCTTCCATTTTCTTCCTTCCACCATAATATATTCCAGTGAGGGCGACCCAACCTGACCGACAGCTGATACACAGGTAGCTTCGACCCTTCCCGGCCTTCACAAACACAACGCCCCCTAGAATAGAAGAAAATAATGCGCGAAGCAAAAATGATTTAAGATTTGTTGACCTACATACTATATAGAGCATTTTAAAGTAACGTCCTATCTAAAATAGAAATCTAAACTACTTTATGTCCCCTACTAGACAAGATTATGTCACCAGCTAGACAACATTATGTCACCTGCTAGACAACATCATGTCACCTGCTAGACAACATTATGTCCACTGCTAGACAACATGATGTCACCTGCTAGACAACATTATGTGCACTGCTAGACAACATTATGTCACCTGCTAGACAACATCATGTCCCTTCTATAGAACACGATGTCCCTGCTTAACAACATTATGACCCCTGCTAAACTACATTATGTTCCCTGCTAAACAACATTATGTCCCCTGCTAAACAACATTATGTCCCCTGCTAAACAGTATTATGTCCCCTGCTAAACAGCATTATGTCACCTGCTAAACAGCATTATGTCCCCTGCTAAACAGTATTATGTCCCCTGCTAAACAGCATTATGTCACCTGCTAAACAGTATTATGTCCCCTGCTAAACAGTATTATGTCCCCTGCTAAACAGCATTTTGTCACTGCTAAACAGCATTATGTCCCCTGCTCAACAGCATTATGTTACCCGCTGAACAAAATTAAAGCCCTTCTAAACTACTTTATGTCCCTTGCTAGACAACATTATGCCCCTTGCTAGACAACATAATGTACCCTGCTAAACAACTTTTATGCCTCTTCAAAACATTATATAGTATATAGTACCCTGCTAAACAACACTATATCCCCTCATAAACAACATTTTTTCTCCTGTTAAACAAGATTAGGTCCCTATAAAGACAATTATGTCGCTGCTAAAGAACAGAATGTCCCTGCTAAACAGCATTATATCCCCGTTAAACAGCATTATATCCCCGTTAAACAACATTATGTCCCAGCTAAACAACATTATGTCCCTGCAAAAGAACATTATTTCCCTCTCCTACCTGGTGGTGTATTTGGATATTTCGAATCTAAATTCAGATCTTGAATAGCTTCAGGAGGTATACACATTGCAAACCTAATACAATATTCATTTCAATTTTTTAAACTTTATGCAGAAACTTGTTTGACATTCAGTATTAGAATTCTAAACTTCAAAGAAACAAAAACAACAATATTGAATTTATATATATTTCTTTAAACAGAAATTAAAAGCCAAGACATCTTTTTGGAAAAATTTTATCGAGTAAATAATTTTCTTTTGCAATTCTTAAGATTATTATGATTTATATTTTGTACAATGTACCTCCTACATTAACCAAAAATCTGAAACACTCCCTTTAAACTCTAAATTGTTGAATATAATCCCTTGTTGTTGTATTAGTCGGCTTCCATCTTGCTCTTAGTTTGATTATATCTCCGATACCTCGCCATAAATTGTAAATTTCATCTCCAGACTACAATATCCAATATCATTACTCATTCATGGCATCTATATAGATTTTACACGTTTGTTTGGTTGTTTTTGTATTTTTTTTGTTTGTTTGTATTTTGTTTGATTGTTTGTATTTGGTTTGATTGTTTGTATTTTGTTTGATTGTTGTATTTTGTTAGTTTGTTTGTATTTGGCTTGAAGGTATGTAAATGACCCATTTTGATCCTTAAGAATTTAAAAAGTCACATTGAAAACAGAAAAACCAAAAAGTGGTCATTTTCTTAAAACGTGAAGATTAAAATCCAATAAATTACTTAAAAATCACTAATATCGAAATCAACCACATAGCCACAAACTAGACTTTCAAAATTTTTTTTGAAAAGAAAAATGGGTATGAAATCATTGGCAGGGTTTTAAATGTAAGGCGGGAATCGGATTTGCCAACCGTAAAGATATTTCGCTTCTTTGTGAATATCACTGTATGAATCATCCTTATTTAGACTATCAACTTTGTGAATCTTGAAATAAGACTAAACTATAAGTACATTTTCTTGATTAGTCCGATTTGATAAAAGACAGAATTGAATTAAAATATTAACCAACATACTAACAATCAAATCAATTTTTTATTAAACGACAGAGCAAAAATCGCGGTAATGATTTAAAAAATAAAGAAGAAAAAAATTAAGTTGAAAAATGAAGGAAATTTTTTTAATTCAAACCATCAATAACCCTTCCTGGGATCATATGATTGTGAGGTCCCACAAAAATTTTGGGCCCAACAGGTTCAGTCGTTTTGACGTTTATCGGTTACAATCGATTAGGTAGGGTAAAGTCGCTACTAGGTGGGGTGAGGTGGCTACAAGGTGGGGTGGGGATGCTAGCGTGAGACACCAGTTCTCGTTAGATCACTGAAGTTAAGCACACTTGTCCACAGCCAGTAACTGGATTGGTATCCAGACTGGTGTTCACGGGTTCGATTCCCGGACTCCTCACAAATCTGTGATTTCAAAATAATTCCAATTTTTAATTTCTAATTGAACGTTTAGAGAGTAATAAGAAGAATGTTTTTACTCCTGGTATTTTCATGAATTCTATATAATTGAATGATAATGGATTCCTGTTTGTTGAAATCAAGAAATGCATAAGATTTGTTTACAGCAGGGGCGTAGGACACGCCTACATTGTCCTGGGGTAGAGCCCGCCCCTCATAATCATCATAAGCCTCAAGAACTTTAACAAGAAGATCACCTCCTGCAAATATTCAGGGGTATATATTTTTTGATTGATTATCCATTTTTCTAAATTCAGCGGGGAAAAAAACCTAAAAATATTTTTGCCCTTCGCAAATAATTTTTGAATAAACCCCCAATTGAAAATAATTTTTCTAGACTATTCTTTTCAACCTTTTTTATGTTTCAAATCAAAACTTTTGTACTGTTTATCTTTGGGTCCGGAACTGGGAACTGAATGGTGGATATCGGGATTAACGCTTGATCTTCTCTTTTTCATAATCTCCAGATTAAATAATGCTTGTTCTCCTCTTGATATTAATCTCCAGATTAATTAACCTATCAGGATTTTGGATATCCCATTCTAAAGTTCCCCGCTCAGCATATTTTTTGCGTCCAGCGGATCAAATAAATTTATCTTAGATATTCCTCAGTCGGAGCCTACCAGTGAAAACTAAACTAGTTGGATCAGGCTCTTATCCCTCAAATAAAATAGAAACACAGTGGATATCAAGAACAAGCCTTGTAGATTTGCGCTCATTAACAACAAAAGTTTTGATCGCTTAAATAGGAAAATGAAAAACATGAATTGTTAGTTTATTCTAGCTTTTTAATTTTGTAAGAAAAATTCAACTCAATTTAGTCTAAATTCACAATATTCAATGTTTCGAAAATCTGCAATAGGACCTTTAAAAGTTTAAACAGGGTGATATATTTGATAAGCCATTCCCTCTCCAGACCTTTTTCGGTAATTTTGAGTAGAAATATGTAAAAATGGATTTATTTTTATCATTTATTTATTTTAGTCTTACTTTAGGAGTAATCACGTGTAGCAAGTTTATATTAATTTTGTCATCCTTTTCTACCATATTATATGTGAAAATTGAAATTTGAAAATATGTGAACATTCTCAACATAAAACTGTTTTAAACAACAAATCTCTATTCCTACCTAAAACTGCAATCCTGTGGGTGAGTTGAGGTCTCGTTTCATGCTTACCGATCATCACTGTATCACAGCAGAATATATCACCAATATCAAATTTCTAAACCAACAAATATTCAAAGTAAAGAAAATAATAATAGAACAATTGAAGTAATGAGTGTGAAGGGATTGTGAATGTGAACGCTATTTCAGAGAAGTATCAAAATTTCGCGGCTGTTCCCTTTAAAATATAATTTCAGATAATAAAAAGAATGAAGAAACTTGCTTTTACATGTCCAATTTTTAATTTTTCAAAAATTATTTTAAATTCTTAAAAATATACACCCCCTAAAAAAGGTTGGTTAAATTTTGTGAATATTTGTTTTTTCCTTTGGTTTAATTTTCATAATAGTAACTCCTGTTTCGGTCAATCCATTTTTTAACGCATGGATTATTGGGGCCGCTCCTCTCAACTAAATTTATATAAAAAAATATTCAATAATATTTTCAAAAATTATTTGATTTCTTCTAATTTGTTTTAATTGTAAGCATTATTAACAATTTCTATTGGAAATATGTTTTGAGAAGAAGTGTGAACTACAAAAATCTGAAGAAAAGTTCAGGAGGAGGGGGGCACCCAAGTTAAATCAGTTTTAAAGTTGTCAAGGGGGTACAATTCCCCTCCCCCCTTCTAACATTTACCTGCGGCAGTAAGCTTCCGTGAACATTAAGAATACCATGCGGAAACTTCTCAATAATCTTACTTATTCATTTTAACTAATTAAACTGTTACAGACAAAGGCTAAGGATGAGGGGGTGGGGTGAAATCTCTCCCCCCCCCCTTCACTAATTATTACGAACTTCATATAATTCTCACTTAGTTGTATTTAAGTGTTGACTTGCACAATATTCTGCAGAACTGATCCCATTAAAGATGAAGCCAGTGAAGCCATACTTATGCATTAAATAAATTCAACGTAATAACCAGAGGCTAGATGATAAGGGTAGGAAAGGGAAAGGACGGCCTCGAAAACTTACTCCAGAGGGTTGTCTGCAGGGCAGAAAATGTGGAAATTGAAGGTTTTAAATTATTAACCTCGAAATTGAAATAATATTACAAGAAAATGTATGTTAATAAAAACAAATAATTTTCAAAAATTGTTATTTAGACGTCAAATTTTAAAAATATATTATTAATAAAGTTGTAATCTATGTTTGTATGTTTGTTTGTGCGATCATAACCAAAGGCGCAACTAGGGGGGGGGCGGCCGGGCTCGCGCCCTCCCCTAGTTCGGTAGTACCTGAGAGGGTCCCCCCCCCCCTGCAGAATGGAAAGAAAGAATGGCGAATATCAGTCTTACAGGAATAAGAAAACCAATAGTTATTGTAAAAATTATGCTATAGTTAGTTCAAAAAAAATATTTTTATCTTTCTCAATACTCAAGGTTAAAAGATATTGTAAACATTTATTGTAAAAAAAGTTCCGAACTATTTAGTTTTTGTGTTGACTGTTGTTAGTTCATAGAGTTCAAACTTTACAAATGTATCTAGAATATACTGATCTAAGTTCTAACTAGATGTGCATCGGATGGGTTTTTTATCCAGATTTTTGCCACAAACTCTGATATGTTAATTAATCCCTTTATCTTTGCAACCCAATATGGTAGATTTGAAACTTTGAATTCTTTTGGTAAAGATTAAAATATCAAAGGTTTACACTATAAAACACGCACTTATATTTTGAAATTTTTTTTCGAAAAATAGGACATGCTATGTGACGGGCACTGCGGCCACATGTCCAACTTTGCCCTTGTACATTTTGGATGAAAAGTGGGGTTCAAAATTCGAACAATTGCAATAGGAAATTACACATAATTTTTTTCTATGAATTTACCGATAATATTATCAAACTTCCCTGTGGTTGAAGATTTCGCACAACAGACCTCTAACCGGTGAATTAGCGTTCCACCATTTCTCATCTCCAATCTTTTTAAGGTTTCTGGTCTCAACAAAAATAAATTTTTCAACAAATATTTTCAAAAATTCTAGCCTTAAAATGATAATTGAAAATATGGGTTATGTCAGATTATAAAAAATCTATTTTTCCTAAAGCAAATTCATCTGTGCCGAAAAACAAAACTTTGAAACTTTTTGAACTTTTAGACGTCGTTGAAAACAGTTTAGTCCATGGAGGGTCATTTAAACAAGTCCCACAAGTGGTTTTAAACTTTAACAATGAAACCCTTTTTAGGGTCAACAGGTTTAGGGACCACATTTAGGGATCTACGTGGAACCGTCTGGTTCAGTAGGAGCAAGGTTCCTAAAATTTAAAAATAGGCCAACATTATGCGCAACAATGCCGCAAATCATTAAAATTCTAAAATCAATAAATTCGATTAAATATTCCTTTTTAAACTCTAAAACTTAAATTTGCTTATTAAGCAAATAATAACTATTTTCAGATTTTGTTTAGATTAAGTTTTTTTTCAATATTCTAATTGGTCACAAGCATTTTAATATTAGTCATATATATTATATTTCAAATATTCTGTTTCAAAGTCGTCTTCATAATTAACCATTTGTTTTCAGTTTTATCTTTAATTAAAATCTTTTGATGGATGACCTACATATTTTTCAATTATATCAGTGGCGTATACAGGGGGGACTATTCGGACTAACCCCCCCCCCCCCCCCGTCAATTGCCATCTTAAACTATGGTTTCCAGGGGGAATTCAGCTGAGGCCTCTTTTTGCACGTAAATTTGATATATGTTTACGCTTTTTGTATTGAAAAAATTTTTTGCAATAATTACACCAATTTTTACCCAAAAATAATATATGACAACCAACGAAATCTTGTTCACGTTAAATTTTCAACTGAAAATAGATTTTTTAATGGTTTAAATAAGTAAAAAATAAACAAAATGATTTTTGTTTTAATTTTCCTTCAAAATAGATTTCTCTCTTAAATCATATATAACAGTTTGAAAAAGGTTTTAAATCCTTTGGTTAATCTCTAAGAACTGAACATTGCTCTTGTTAAAACTTTGAAAGCAGTGAAGTTTA